CAGTGATTTCTTCAATGCAAGCCCATAGTGTGGGAACATGAACAGCATTTATAAATGAGGTCTGGCCATGCCCAAGACAAACATTCAGTCCTGAAGGAGAGAGGAAAAGGGAGAGTCATTATATGGAAATGAGGAAAGGGCATAACGTGGGAGTTGTTGCTATCTCTTAGATGTAACTAGGTAACTATAAAGTGCTTTTTAGAAATCACCGTTGCTAACACAAGTTGGTGAAATGCTCCGGTGCTAGTGGCACTGCAGTCACAGAATCACAGACTGGTGGATGTTGGCAGGCACCTCTGGAGGCCTTTTGCTCCATCCTGCTGGTCCAAGCAGGGTGACCAAGAGCCATATGTCCAGAAACATGAGCAGCCTTCCTATAAACTACATCTTTTATTTGTGGCCTCCAGAGCTCAGACATGATTTTTGTAAGATTCTGTGCCTCACAGTCTTACCTGACCTGGTGCTCAAGCAAAATAAACAGAAGCAGTAAGCAGGCCCTTTTTTTTCTGAGGTCTCCAGTGTTACCAATTAGTTTAAAGTAAAGCAGCAGTGAGAACATTTTCCTGGTGTTGACAGGGTCATTGTTATGTTTTCAGAAGGGCTATTTTTACACAGTGACTCATGTTGATGCCTGTTCTGATTTGGTGTTTTTCCATCTTCTCTGAAAACGCAGCAGGGCGAATGTATAATTACAATAACTTCTGGATTTTACTACTGTAGACTTTGGCCATAGAGTTGAAAACTGGTGGTGACCCCGGTCCCAAAGTAGGTTTCCTTTGGCAGGGAGGCTGACATAGGTGTTTCTGCCCCTTCCACTCCACAGCTGTGAATTCTTGCCTTCATGTTGTGTTCTCCTCAGTTGTTCCAATGAGAGGCGTTGTGGGAGTGGCCCCAGTGCAACTGTTCTTATCATTTGGAAGGAAAAAAGCCAAATATAAAAATGAGCAACCTGGAGTTTTGGGGTGTCATTTGCTTGGGTTAGTTTTTTTGAGGACACTTTTAAAATTATGCTCTCTTAGGTATCCAGACTAAGTGTTGTAGCAGCTGTTTTATCAGGGTAATAGTAAGCTCCAGCTGCAGGTGGGAGAGGAACTCCTTAGCCCCATGAGCAGAATTCTTATTCTCATGCTTGGTATCACTCTACCTTGAAATAAAAGCATGTACTCTCAGATCTCACAACACTGTTGTGGAAGAAAATAATTGCGTTTAATACATCAAAAGACTTGCTTCTAGCGTGTACATATATTTATGTGAGACGGGTGGAGGCTGCAGAACTTAAATCTTTTCTGTTAAAGCACAGCTCTGTCTCCTGGGCAGCAAGAGAAAGATCTCTGGAACTGAGCTGAAATAAGCAAGCCAGGACCTGCCTGGAGAGACTGGCCTGATGCCCTGCTTTCCACCTCACTGGAAGGGTGGAGATGGGTAGATCTTAGGCACTTCCCAGTGTCTCCTCTTTCTTCCTCTTCACCTGAGAGAGAGATCTCTGCTGAGCTGTGCTTTGTGTGGCACATGATGTGTAACTCGTGGGTGAGTTACAGCTCATACTACAAGTTTGACCTGTAGTGGCAGCAGACAAAAGATGTCATTTACAAAAGGACCATTCATGTTACTGGGACATCAGTGTCCTGCTGCCAGGCCCTTGGCTATTGTAGCTTCTGCCATCCCAGCCATACTGGCTGATAGGTAGAAACCAGACAGACAGACAGTTTGGTGGGTCACAAAGAAGAGAGGTGGAAGTACATTTAAGTTTCCTTGGGAACACAGAGGTTGGAATTTTGAGGCTGCATTTGTGATGTTTGGTCTGTTGTGGAGGTCACAGCTTCTGCAGCCTTTGTCTTCCTTTTGCCTGGGACATTGCTACTGGATTAGAGAGCTTGGTGAGGTCAGTGTCTGTGCAGCAGCCTGTCCAGAGGATGTTTATATCCAACATGTATGTGTTTATAGCTTTTTATTTAAAAAGCCAATTGCTCCTCCTTTTATTTACAGCAGTAATTAGGAAGCAGATCTAAAGGGGAAGGGCTGACCACACTTAAATGTTGACCTTTTTTGTCAGAGTCCAAGCTGCAAATTTAACACTTTCATAATTCTGTGGTGATTTTTTGCCACCCTAGTGGTAACAGTTAAATATCTTCCTGTGTTTTGATCCTGTGAACAGTGTGTGACTTTCTGGATGGTGAGAAGTTTATTGAGCCTGAAATTGAAAGTGGCTTGTTGAGAAATCAGCAAAATAGTAACAGAGAATCTTTGCCAACTCCTTCTTAGCAAGCCTCAAAGCTTTTCTCTTGGCATTTTTTAGAATCCTGACAATACAATTGAACACTTCTAGTAGAAAGAAGATGAGTTGCACACTTTTAACAAGGACCTAACCCTGTGTAGGATTTTTTTTTCTCTGACATCTGGGGGTCATTAAGCCTTGGTACATCACAGAAGACTGAAAAGACATTGAAGAGTTGAATGCTCACATGAGAAATTATGTGTATCTGTATCAGGTTAGGCGCTGCTTGAATTTTTAACCAGGAAAACTTCTCATCAGTGTTTTTTGAAAAGGGACTGCAGTTTAAGCAGGTACTTTTTCTCAAGGTGTGAGATCATTCATCATTCTTGATTAATCTTTTCTCTGAATGTAAATACATTGTCATTGTATTTACAGAAGGCAGCTGTAAGAAAAATTGAGTATGGAAAAAAATTAAAAGCTAATCACACAAAAATGAGTAATGTTAGAACCTGTGAGCACGTGTCTTTATTTTAGAATGGTAGTATCAGCAGGTTTTGTAAACCTGGAGTTTTACTGATCAGCAAGTGCCTTTGTATAACATTAGCAAATGAGAAAGACAGGAACAGAAAAGCTATATTTCTAGTCATAGCCTCCTGTTTAAATCACTTGGCTACATACTTTGTGGAATGAAGCGTGTGGGGGTACAGTGCCTTGGAGTTTCACTTATCTGCTGTTCAACTGGCATTGAATCAATACACAGTCAGTTTGAGTTTGGAAGTTATATTTACAAAAGTAAATTCTGTACCACTTTTCTAGCACTCAACTCATTCATCAGAGGTCAAGGAGAAAATGTCTTTGCCACCACTGACATGGAGCAATTAGGCTGATAGCCATGAATATGAAAGCTCCTATTTATTGTCTTGTGAGTGCCAAAATAGTTGTTGTCAGAGTCTGGATTATCCTGTTGGTGGTTAAATACATCTGTACATTCTCATGAAGTACATGGAACAAAGGGGAAATAATGAAAGAAATGTTTGAATTTTTTTATTACATGCCCCTATCTTTCTCTCTTGAAGTGCTAGCTGAAGTTCAGATTGTGGTTATAGCACATATAGCACATATGGGCACCCATCTGAATACTTAGACTGCTTAGATTTACTTTTATTTTGACTGCATTTTTTGACTTGTCTTTTCCAAACGAAACCTTTAAAAAAAAAGAGTGAACAGGGACCATAGTGGGCTCTGAGCTCATCACTCTGATAACACATTTCAAGCTGAAGAAACATTTCAAAGCTCAGCCCCAAAAGATGCCAAGCATATCACTCTCATATCAGAATTGAAAATTAACATTAGTGTAAGCTGCTACTTCTACTTCTTTGCTGATGCTCACATAATTTAGGCTGAATATTTACATGGTGCATTTCAGTAAGTGGAGCATATTTGCCAGAAGCAATTGATTCTTCTGGTAAATGACAGCAGTGCAATTGATTGTACTGGACAGTCCAGATCAAACTGAATCATGGTGTGTGCCTGTCTCTGTTATTCATACATGCCTGTGTGCATCCAATCCAAACATCTGTAATAATAAGAGGAAAAGATAAAATAGTTTCTTCTCTTGCACATTATATAGACCAATTGAATTTTGTAGAATGCAGGGTATTTACTGTCCCAATCTCACTGAAGATAATGTTATATGGAAATTGTTCCTTTGGATAAAAGAGAATTATACTGTGCATATGCTTTCATAATTAGCTGAGAAGTAGTTTATTTAAACAAAAGAAATTAAGCACTGATATAATGCATAAGTTTTTCCTCATTCAATGTCCCAATTACCATTTTAACAGCATTTGAAATAGTGAAATATTGACTTATATATTATGAAAGCCAGCATGAAGATGGAAAAAATTGCTTTTTTTCCTGGCCATGAAGTTTTGTATTTTTTAAAGAATGTGGTACAATTGTCAGCTTCAGCCAATCTCCCATTCTTCCATGCAGCACAACTGCATTTTAGTGGTGTTTCCCTGTGTTGGTGCAAGCACTCATGTGATTTGTGAGGCCTCACCAGGCTGACTATTGTAACATGCAAGGTTAGAGTCACATCACATCAGCACAGTGATGCTGCTCTCACTGTATGGCTGCACTTGGTTGATGCAAAGTGGGGAACAGTAATGCATGACCACATAGCATGAGAGGAATGGCAATGCCCTTTGCAGTCTGGTTTTAGAGAAATGGATGTCAATGTTCCCCCCTCTTGCAAAGTGTCATTTCTCCCTTCTTCGAGCATCCAGGATGTGATGTGTGGAACAGCAGTGGGTGCTGTTTGAGCTGCAGGGTGCTCCTTGAAAGAACAATAAGAAATTTTCTAGTGCCTGTGGTGTTCATGTCCTGCATCAGCAGAATGCCTTCGAGGAGGCACGGGGTGACTGAATGATCCTGTACTCTTCCCTCTAGGGTTTTGCCCCAGATTCTACTTCCTTCCCCTACCTCATACCATCAGCAGCAGCTTTATCTCTTGGAGGGTGTCTTCATGCTCAGTCACTGACCAGATCAGCTGACATCAAAAAACACCTGGAGACAAACTAATGTTTGTTTGCTTTTCAAATGACAAAATGCATATTTAATACTGTGCTGCTTCTAGGGTCTGAATAAAAGGAAATTAGGTGTTTGGAATTATTAAACAACTGCCATACAAGACCACTAAAGTAATAGCAGCTTTTAAATAGCATGAAAATAGAAGCAAATACGATAAAATAAATCTTTGCTTTTTTTTTTTCCCCTTCTACAGGAATATTTTTACCCGAAATATTTGGGTGAGTTGCAGCTTTTATTTCCACTTTGTGGGATTCTGGTATGTGCCTAACACTGGAGCTTGTCACAGTTGAAGTCTCTGCTAAGGAAAGAGATGGAAACCTGATTGCAATAAACATGCATTGCTAACTTTTAAGATAGACTGTATGTTCCTTATTGTACTTTGAGGTTTGTGTTTTTACTTATGTGTACATTTGCAGACGGAGATGCTTTATGTGTTTTCTGCATGTTGAAATCTTGATGTTGCATATATATCTGTGGCTTGCAGTGTTATGAAATAATTTGTAGTTTTCTACCTTTTTCCCTTTTTAATGAAGTTAGTTATTAACCAAACTCCTTTTAAAAAGAAACAGGTGCCTGATTGAACTACTGGCTTATTCTATTGACTGTACCATAGTCATGGCATCATACTGTTTTCTATTTGTGTTAAATATGATGTATTTAAGATCAAAGCCACAGTGGGAGAAAAAACCATGTGCTTTTTAGATATTTTAAGATGTTTAGATGGTCAAATTGGAGTAGCTACCACCATAGTTTTATAAGCATAGTGGCATCTGGTTAAGTGATCATCGTCTTCAAATAGCTTTTAACTGTTGTACATCGAAGCTAAAAGATTTTAATGAACTTTAGAATTTCAAGGCATCTGGGAGATGATAATATTGCATAGATTTTACATACACCTTCCAAATCCTTGCAGACTAGGTATCATTTTACATGCTTTGAACAGCTGTCCTTCACCACTGTAACAATAACAATTTCATTTTCTGTTTTTCAGCTTGCATTCAGAAATATGGGTCACCATATACGAGAAATCCAGATTTCCTTACATGTGTTCATAGTAAGCATTTTTGGTTTTTATATTGTAGTTAAATGTTCTCTCGTTCTACCTGATGGTGTGGGACTAGCTCAGCCATCTCTATTTTTGGTAGTATTTCAATATTGGTCTTCCTATTCTCACTTAAGACTCCATACCACTAAACAAAATCTTTCCCATTTTATAACCTAATGTCATGTTTTAGTGCTTTGATATTTTATGATGCAAATTTTTTTCCCACCAGTTTCCCAAAATTTGAGCAATATGAGAAGCAAGAGGGACAAGAACTAGGAGGTACCATAAGGCTGTACACAATGTTTCGCCCCTTGTTTTCTATTCCTTGAGTGCTAGCTTTGGCTCACCCCATTAAGGAACCTCAAGAAAAGTTTAAAGTCAAACTAGGCTTGTGCCAGCCTTCTTTACATTAAGAGATCAGTTTCACATATCATGTGACTATGCTTTGAATATTGCTACCTTTAAAATCTCAAAGCAGTTTGGAAGCCAAACTGATTACTTTGTAGAGGGTGAAGGGTTTTTTTGTCCTTCACTAACACTAGAGACGAAAATTTAATGAGTTCTTCTAATAACTTTCTAGTGGCCTTTAGTCAACTTTTTACATTTATAAACTGCATTGAAACAACCTTTTTAAAGACTGAATTCCAAGGTTAATAAGGGGTATGTGAAGAATTTCCCTCACATATTGCAGTAGTGTCACTCATGGATGTTGAGTCCTTCAAACAGGGGATTCTCCGACCCGTGGTACCTGTGTTGGCTGCAGTATGCCAGCTAGTCCAAAGTGGGATGTGAGGCTGAATGCTTACATTTACTGTGCATGTGGCACAGCAAAGAGACAGGAGTTTCTGCTGGAAATGGTGATATTGACTGGGAACCCTTGTTCCAAAGAACTAATCAGGGTCTCAGAAATGAGAGTCCAAAGGGTAGCGATGAAAAAGTCTGAATAAATAAAAGCGGAATAATTGTTTTTAGGGATTTCTGCCCATTGCAGATGCAGTGGTTTGGAAAGAAAATTATAATATTTTCCCCCGTTAAAATATTATCAGGTTTTTAAATGGCTGAGTTTTGGCTAGCCATCATAAATTCACAGGAGAAGTAACAGAGAAGGAGCCTGAAACACGCTTGGAAGAATGACAGGCTTCGTGCTTGGCCAGTTCTAGTGTGTCTTAATTTTTCACAGATGCTGCCAAAAGACTATGTAGCTCTATGGGTTTGTGCCTGGAAGACACTTCTAAACTTTGTTTCTTAACAGCCTTTCTCCTCTCAATACAAGGTAGTGGAATGTTCTTTTAACCCAGTGTACAAAGATACTGAACAATCTAAGGGCTGGAGGGTGATTGACTGCACAAGTTTATACTGGAAATAAGGTAGAAATTTAAAGTATGACAGTGATTAGACAGGTTAGACAGAATATATGAGGATTCCTAATTTCATAAACTCTTGAGATCAGATTACAACTAGGATTCTGTTCCAGATTCAGAGGATTCCATACAGTGTGTAAATAGGAATTTCCAGCATGGGTGCTTACATGAGCAGTATTCCCATCAGAGTTAGCAGAGAGTTAATCTCCTCTGGTTCTGGAGGGATTCCCCCAACTAAACTGTGTCTGTTCTGAGGAGACCCGAGTCCCTCCACAGACTCTGTTTATTGTACTATCTCCAATGACCGAAATGAATATTTATGATTGCTTTGCAGATAGATGCTTACTTTACACTTGGATACCTACACTTTCTCTGCATATCTGGATCTTTTTCTAAAAGATCCTGCAGGTCATCTAGGAATTAAGGATTTGGGTCTGCAAGGCTTTGGAAAGTTCTACAGGACTTTTGGGAGATGAAGCTACACATGGCCTTTAAAAAGTCAATGATATTTTTGTTAGGTCACATGTGCTTGCTTTTTACTGTTAAATTACTGAGTGTAATATTATTTTCAGCCTAGCATTTTATGAAGTTTCAATATGAACCATTTTGTCGGTATCAAAAAATAAATTCACAGAACAACGTGATGAACTGAAAGTGACAGTCAGTGGGCATAAGGAAAGTGTTGTTTCCATACTGATTTCAAAGACTGAATTGGTAGTTCTACTCTCTGTCTGCACTTTTGAGCTTCATAGGTGCTATCAGACACAGCTCAAAGCACATGAAAAGGTCATGCTCAACACTACTTTTGACAGCTTTACTAAAATCTGTCATGTAAATGAATGGAAACAAAAGCTCAGGTTTTTTTCTTTTGCAATGGTTTCAATCAGGAGTGCCTTCTATGAAGCCAGCAGAATTACACAACTATGAAGCCACCAGAAGAGTATAAGAGTGTGTCTTATGTTCTCAAACTCTCATGATGAGAGGGAGTGAACAATCAGCACAGTGCTGATGTGATAGCAACCTCTGTGGTGGATATCCATGGATTATACCAGGGGTTGTTACCCTGCTGGGCATTGTTACTACCATGTGGCTCTGTAAGGTATGTCAGAATCCAGTTTGAGGGCAAGAATCAGAAACTTGTGGATACACCAGATAAGCTGTGCATAACCCCATTGACTTGATTTGCTTATCAAATGACTGAAAACACTGACATATTTAGGAGGTTTGGTGTGCACTGCTAAAAAAAAAACAACTTGGCTTACTATACCATTCTGTTTAATGTAAACATTCTGATCTGCCTAGAAAAAGAAACACCCTGGACAGATTTGCTGTATTGTGGCTCATTGCCACCTTAACCTGGCCTCTCCTTGCCCAGCTCCTCCCCCTCCAGCAGTGTGTCAGCTGGGCAGTGATTTGCTGGGAGGTGCTCTGGCAGGTGGAGGTTAAGGCAGCCCATATAGCTGTGTTTTGTTTTGTGTGGCCTGGCCTCTTTGGCTGTGCCTTTGCCCCAGCTCTGCACATCTGGAAGGTTTTGTCTGAACATCAGGAAATGCTTTCACATTGTGAGAGTGAACCAGAACCGGCACAGGTTGCCCAGGGAGCTTGTGGAGTCACCATCCCTGGGATAATCAAAAGCCTTCTGGCCATGGTCCTGGGCTGTAGGTGGCCCTGCCTGAGCAGGGAGGTTGCATAAGTGACCTCAGAGATGCCTGCCAACCTCAGCCACCTGAGATTTAGATCCAAGACAGTCAGTGCAAACAAAAGTGCTGCTCAGTGCTTTATGAGGCATCAAATGGAGCTGCTGCTGCCTGCACTCGAAGAAGTGTTAAAGTTCTTCCAAAGCAGCTCATCATGACAGCAGCTTTCAGGATCACACAGAGGAAGCTGAGAAGAGACCTGTAGCAGTACAGTAATTCTGACAAAAGTAGGAGTCTTAACTTTTCCCAATTCTCAGGGGCTGCTAATCTACAAACAGTTCCTCTCCTAAAAACCTCCTTGTCATCCTACAAAGACATGTTCAGAATATCACGAGTCCATACTGGACTCAGCAGAACCAGTGCATAAGGAAAGTGGGCATAAGGAAACCAGTGCAGGTCTTTTCTGCTGCTGCTCACTTAGTGTGTACACACTGGGCACTTTCAAATGCTGGGAGGAGATATATGAAAAGAAAGGCTCTTGAGCTGGTGAGTTTTGCAATCTGCAGAATGAACTCCTGCATTGTTCTTCTGGTTAAAATGGTGGAAACCATTAACACATTCATGTTTTTGAAGACCACTGATCTAGAACACTGGTTTTAACAGGTTACTACTACATTATAGCTACCAACTCATTTTTTTGTGGAAACAAGGGTGTTCTCTCATCCTTCCTTTAGCTACCTCTGTGAAGCACTGTCCCTGGGTGTTGTGCAGGTAAATGGGTAGGTGAATTTGGACAAGTGACTACAGTGGGTGAGTGGCTACATGATACTTTGAGATTTATTCCTTCAATCATTCCTAAAGTGTGGTGACTACTCCCCTGCTTCTTTCCAATGAAGAAACTCATTGCCAAATCCTGGAACATGGCTTAAAAATCCCCATGTGAACATTGTGCTCTTTGTAAACTGGATTAATGGTTTGCTATTCCTTGGCTGTTGATATATGAGTATTCCTTTTTTATTTTCATTCTATGTAATAGAAAAGATCTATCAAAAATTTAATTAAAAAACTTTTGCTAGCTAGAAACCTATCAGCTCTGGTAAGATCCTCAGTTTAACTTCCAAAGGTGATTGAAAAGAATACCCATCCTTTCTTGAGTACTTTAGTTGATACTGCCTTTTTTTTTTTCCTCAGAAATTAGTGAGAGTAGAAAAATAAGCTCCTTTGAGTTGTTTCTTTCAGGATGTGTCCTTCAGATATGGGGGTGGTAGCTCACTCCTTTTTGCAATTAAGTGAATTCCACTGCAGTGCTCTGTAAAATTCCTGGCACAGCTTGTTTGGCATGTGAGCACTAAGAATCAGCTTATAGTTTTGCCAGGTGCAAGTAGTTTTCAGTGATTCCCCAATACTGTTTAAGCTTCCCATCTTCTAATGAGAGTGAAACACCTGGTTGTCAGTGATTTCAATGTATTGTTCTGTTTTGTTTTGGTTTTTCTATTCCTTGTGTAAATCAGATTTGCCAAACCAGTGTTCTCCCAATCCTTGTCACAAAGAAGGGACTGTCAAATGTGAGGATCTCAAGGGAGACTTCTATTGTGAATGCAAGCGTGGCTGGCAGGGGAAAAAATGTGAAAAAGGTAATTTGGTTTCATTATCTTTTGTTCTTATAACAAAGACATTTTGAGTTTTCCTATATTCTCAAATGGTCACTGATACTGTGCTGCACAATTCAAAAGTCACAGAACTGAACCTAGGTTACACAGTGTTCATGTTTTTACCCTTTGGGAAACAGGTAGTTTTTCACATCAACTTGTTTATATGACTCTAGTGGAGCTCAGCTTGGTCTTGGCAAGGTAATCCAAGAAGTTATGCTCCAACATTCTGCTCCACCCCTCTGAAAGCAGCAGCAGCAGAAATAGAGTAGTAGTGGCTTTTCAAGCAGAGCTGCATCAGTTGCTGATGTGAACCCTGGTGTAACAGATCACAGATCACAGAGCCAGAGGGGCTGGCTCATCTTTCCATCTAGCATCCCTGCAGTGGGAACAATGACTTCCAGTTGGCAAGTTGAGGTTTGAGTCTGATGACACACAAATTGATAAAATTAGTCTATTGAAGCCTCCTTGCTAGTCTGACCTTATTCCATGTCCACTTAATTCCACATATTCCATTGGTATATTTCCATCACGTCAAAAGAGAATTTCAGACAGAAACCATTGGTGCAAGAAGCTCCAGCTGTCCACAGAGTTTTCTCTACAAGTTATCTTCCCTCCTCTTGTTTTCTGTTTTCTTTAGTTCTTTTTCTTCTGCCTACAAGGCTTCCTGTCAGGGCCACTGCTTTTTTGTTTGGCAATAGTAAGTAATGACTAGAAATGGTATTCAGCCAGTCCAGAATAGTGGCAACCAAGACAGCAGGAGATCCAATCCTTTCCTTCTCATGTAAAAATTGTGAAGAGTTTATGGGATCACTCAAGCATCTTATTTAAGCAATTCAGAAAGCAGACCAGTCAGTATCCAGTTGGCTTTGAGAGCTCAGACGCTGATCAGTCAGAAGCATATTTCCTTATTTTCTTATAAAATGCCATGACATGCTGTTGTACCCATCAGCTAACTCTGGAGTCCCATAGACAAGCAGGACATAATGAGCAGGTAGGGTAGACTGAGGGTGAAACTCAGGCTCTGCTGGATTTTACAGGCTTTTGCTGCCAATTTCAGTGGGGCACAGTTAAGCTCATAAATGTTCGGCAGGTGTGAACTTGGAACTTCCTCTGTTCTCATGAGCTCTGTGATAGTAACAATATTGTGTTCCTGTTTTACTTAAAGCCTTTGTCCTGAAAGCCTTTGTCCTGAGCTTATGGCCATAGCATAATTTTAGTACCTAGTTATGATAAAAAATACATAACTAGTTTGCTTCTGCAGACAAGCTTCTTTGCCTCCACAGTGTCTAAAGATACATTTGTGTATTCTGAGAGCTGTGAAGGAGATACTATTCAGTTACAGATCCTTGTTTCTCCCTTTTTTTTTTTGTAAGGTAAACAAACTTGAGCTTATATGATTAAGTGTTTGAACAAAACCATTGTGCTTTTTGTTATCACTGTGTTACATCTGTAATACTGTTTCTTGTTTGATCTTTCTCGTTCCCAACATCTATTGCACTGTGACCCTGTAGATTATTTACAGATGTGAAAAGCTGACTGTGACACTTTCTTTTGATGTAGATATTGATGAATGCAGAACGCAGAACGGCGGCTGTAACCAGCTCTGCCTCAACAAGCTAGGCAGCTACCGGTGCTCATGCTACAGTGGTTATGCTCTTAAAGACAGCAAAATATGTGAAGGTAAGCTTTGCTGGGACTCTCAGTTTGCTTCAGGGAGGATGCTTTGTGGCTCGTGTCTGTGTTTTGGAGAGCTGGGTTGCCCTGAGCAGTCCTGGTCTGCTCCCTAGCCCAGCAGAAACTTGCAGGTAGCTCCTCTTAGCTTTGCTCACTGGGGTTGTGCTGGGTGCTCCAGCCAGCCTACATGCCTGGGCTTGTCAGCAGTTGGACCATGGTGCTCTCAAGAGCATAACACAGGCGTGATTCATGGAGGATTTGTGGCTTGGATTGTGCTAAATTGGTTTAGTTGATCAGTCCTCGTATCCTGACATTGAGGGGAGGAAGCGCTGGCCAGATGTGTTGTTATGATTCTTTCCAGTCCCACAGTGTTGTAGTATGTGAGCCATTTGTTTTTCTTTTGTGTGTTTCTTTTTTTTTATATTTGGATGTGTGCAGCAGCTAATGAATTCAGATAGATACAGATGGCTAAATTCACTGCAAGTCAATATTAATAGGTGTAGAAAGGCCCTAGTGAAGTTTGGCAGCTATTTTACATACCAGCTGAGAACAGAAAATGAGGACCTGAAGTTTCTGATTGAAACTGCCGAATGAATTTACATAACCAAAACTTAAGCAACTGAGATTTTAAAAGTGTTAAGAGACTGCATGCTGAGACAAACTCAATAACTCAACAGCAGGTGACTGTTAAAGTTATGTTCATCTTACGAAAAAACAGGTATATTTCTCTTAGAGATGGATGTGATGACATATTTCTAAACAGTTTGCATACATGATCTGAACAACTTATTAATGCTACTAGCAAAAAGAAAAAGAGCAAGATTTTGTTTCTAAGTAATTTCTTCTCTAAAAAGTGATGACTGTATAAATTACATGGTATCCATTCCTAATGGGAGCAGCAACTTAGAAGAGCCAGCTTCACTTTTGAATTGTCCTCTGGTGCCAGTCAGCATGGACAGGTGGCTGGCGAGGGGCTCACATTTGTGTTTGTTTTCCTGTGTGTGTACATTTGTCCATACCCTAGTACTGTCTCCTAGAGCACTCTGAGCACTACTGTATAAACATTCTGTGGCTTCAACATGTGACCTTCCAGCTGCTGAGATTACTGTCAGGTGTGGTTACTGTGTTTGTTTTCTGTTTGTTTTCCTGTGTGTGTACATTTGTTCCATACCCTCTGTGTGCTCTGTCTCCTAGAGCACTCTGAGCACTATTATATAAACATTCTGTGGCTTCAACATGTGACCTTCCAGCTGCTGAGATTACTGTCAGGTGTGGTTATTGATAGCTCAGATTTATCACTGCATTTTGACTTTTTCAGTGTTTGTTCCTGTCAGCGTGGGCATACACACAAAAGTTCCCTCTTGTCTTGATTTGTAGGCTGAGCTACACGGGGTACTCGGCCAGTTCATTCATACGTGGGAAAATCAACAAGAGGAATGAGTAATTGTAGTTTTAACACATACTAGAAAGCAAAAGTAAATATTAAACTCTCAGTATACTGCAAATGTTTTCTCAACACATGGATTCTGCAGGGTATTAGTTAACATGTGAGGAAAATAATCAGGTTTTTTTATGGACTTCCAGTTCCAGTTCATTGCCTGCCCTTATGGTGAAACCCCACGTCTCTGGCATGGCTTGTTCTCTCTGAGGAATTGGGCTGCTTCAATTCTCCCTTGCCACTACACACCAGCAGATTTAGATGTTAGCTTTGTAAATATATGAAAATGTATTGTTTGCCTGTCTGAGGACACAGAGCAGAAATCTCTGAAGTGCCACAGGCTGAGTGTTCCTCCAGTGTTTTGGTAAAATTCATGCTGCCACTCCTAAATTTCTGCCTATTGCTTGTTTTAACCTGCAGTTTCAGTCCCCCAGTTGGAGAGAGTGGGGCTTTTTGATTTTGTGCTAGTTATTATGTTTTACAGTTTTTCTCCTGGTTCACTTTGCATTGCTTTTTCCAGCAGTGGTTAATGGCTTAAGGTAAAAAAGATAAACTGATTTTTGAAGCCTGAAGTCACTTCTTATAGCTAGCTAACCCTAAAAGTGGATTCTTAAAGATACTGTTTTTTTCAGTTTCCAAAATTACACAGGGATTTCCTTGCCCTAAGATCACTCTATGTGAACAGTGATTATACTCCTCTGAAGTTGTGCTGTTTAATTGCTTGTTTTGCAGACATAGATGAATGCACATCATCAGCAGACATCTGTGGAGAAGCTCACTGTAAAAATTTAATAAGCTCATATGAATGTCTTTGCGATGCAGGCTACAAGTACGATGACGTGAGGAAAACCTGTCAGGGTAAGCTCAAGAAATGTGCTAGCATTTCTTATATAATTTAAATCTGTAGAACCCCAGAAATTTCATTTCAGGCTTCAGTAAAATATTTTTTTATTTTTTTTTTAATTGTGCTTACATACTGGAGTTCTGTTCTCTTTCCCTAGTTAGGAGTGAGTTTGCAGTTTGCGGTCACCTTTGAGTTCATCAAGCTTTCTGTTGTCTTTGAGTTCAGTGAGTTTGCAGTCACCTTTGATTGAAATTTCATTTCAGGCTTCAGTAAATTTTTTTTTTTTTTTTTAATTGTGCTAACATACTGGAGTTCTGTTCTCTTTCCCTAGTTAGGAGTGAGTTTGCAGTTTGCGGTCACCTTTGAGTTCATCAAGCTTTCTGTTGTCTTTGAGTTCAGTGAGTTTGCAGTCACCTTTGATGACTTGAATCGAGCTGTACGAGCAAAAGTACTGAGATTTCTTAGCATTTCAACAAGTGCAAGAGCTGGTGAAAGCTCAGAAACATCTGTGCATGTTGCTGCCTCTCTTCATAGGAGAAGAAAAGTTACAAAGCAGTAGCTCTTTTTCCAAAACCTGTCTTGTGGTATTACTCTGAACTAGGAACTTAATGTGTACTGGAACCATGCACAGTTCTGCTGGCTACACTGCCGCAAGCTTTCTCAACAGAGTAGGTTTTGGAAGTATTCCAAAAGCAGCTTTGTTCCCTGCCTTTTGTCTAAGTTAATGTAATGACTCAAATCACACTCCTGTTGCGCGTTAAGGGTTAACTCTGCCTGAAGAGATCCCTGTGGGCTGTCACAGTTTGCTTTCTGGCATTTGTTTGTGAAGAGGATAATCCTGAGCTGAAGAAAAAAAAGAAAATAAAGCAGTGAATGAGAAACTCAGGTTTTATATGCAGTCCCTGACTGCAAGGAGCAGAAGCCAGTCACTACAGGCATAGCAGAAGGGGCCTGAAGGGAGGAAGTCTTGTCTAGAAGTTAAAGCCCAGGGCTCTGCTCCAGCAGACAAGTAGTTGTGTTCTGCTTCCAGCCTTCCCACTGACTTGCTATGTATCTTTGGGCAGCTGGAATCTGTCTGTGAAAATAGATTTCACAGAATAAGCTGAGTTGGAAGGAGTCCACAAGGATCCAAGGATAAAGTCTAACTCCCGACCCTGCACAGCACTCTCACCAGCAGTCACACCGTGTGCCCAAGACCATTGTCCAAATGCTTCTTGAGCTCTGCCAGGCTGGGTATTTTGACCACTTCTCTGGGGAGCCTGTTCCCCTGTCCAACCCCCCTCTGGGAGAAAAACCTTTTTCCAATATCCAACTTAAACGACCCCGACACAACTTCAGGTAATTCTCTCAGTTCTGTCATGTTTAAACAAACTCAGTGTTTTTATCTCTCTTCTTCACTGGTCTTGTGTAGATATAGATGAATGCAAAGAAAAGCTCTGTGAACAGACCTGTGTCAACTCACCAGGGAGTTACACTTGTCATTGTGATGGCAGAGGGGGAGTGAAACTTTCCCAGGACATGAATACATGTGAGGTATGTCAGTGTTCATTGCTGTAACTGCAAACAGATCTTTACTTTACAGCACTGTCTGATTCTCTTTCTGCTGTGTGAGGAGAATAAGCACTCAGAAATGTGTTTTGATTATAGAACATCATACCATGTGTGCCTTTTGCTGTTGGGAGGAGTGTTAAATCCTTGCACCTGGGGAGGATGTTCAGCGGCACTCCTGTTATCAGGCTGCGCTTCAAAAGGAAACAACTGACGAGGTGAGAACAATTTAGAATGACAGTGAAATGCTCTAACTGGCTTTGATGCATGCAAGGGAGTTGTTACAATAATAATTGACCCTACATTCTTCATTATTTGCTTGGATTATGAAGTCCTCTTAGGCTAAACATTCCCTAAACTAGCAATTGAGAAAGGCAGCCTTGACCACAGAGCTGTTAGGATAATTACTGAAATATAGCATTATATTCTTTATTCTTTATGATATTTTAAAAGCAGTACTCACATCTTAAGGCTTTCAGGAGTGCATTAAAAGCTAGTATATTTTAACAGAGTTTTAGAGCTGCTAAAATTGATGCTATCTGTATGGAAAGTACTCTGTGGTTTTTGAACTCTGCATAACTAATTTATTTCTTGGCACCTGTGCGGTCAGACTTGTGGCTGAGTTCGACTTTAGAACCTTTGATCCTGAAGGTATCCTTTTCTTTGCTGGAGGCCATCAAGACAGCACATGGATAGTGTTGGCTTTGCGCAAAGGACGGCTGGAGCTGCAGCTGAAATACAACGGGATCGGCCGCGTCACCAGCACCGGGCCGCTCATCAACCATGGCATGTGGCAAACGGTGAGTCCAGACCCTGCTGAGCCCTGCTCCTTCTTGGCCTGCTTGGGATGTACTCATCAAGTGCAGATAGACTTTGTGTATTCGTGGGAAAATGCTTTTCCATCCTATCTATCCATTAAATGCATGCCTGTGTGTTATACATTTCAAGCTGAAAATATTTTTCCTAAGAAATTGAATTATACTTTATATCCATTGTAACATACACTGCATCTCTAATTTGCACAACCAGAGCAACAATTTGCACACACAGTGCCTTTGAGATGCAGTAGGGCTAAGATGACTTCACATCAGTTCAAGAAGGTGCCCTCTGGCTGAGGGCTGGAAGTGAATAAGAGGGAAGGAACTCTTTATCTGTTCTGTTAAGAAACTTTCCAAATGTGTTTGGTGTGTGTGGGGGGGTGTGCTTGCTTTTGTTTATTAGTTCATTTGTTTAGTCACAGGCCTCAGATTTTCTTATGCTCTTATGCTACAGTATACTTTTTATAAAGTCTTCAGGCCTGTTTATATACAAAATAGACTGTTTCCCTTGTAAAGATATTGGGGTCTACTATAACATCAGAGAATTCCAAAAAATGTTGGAACAGACCTCTAAAACCATGAAGTCCCACTGTCAACCCAGCACTACTGGTGTAAAGCACCTTTTTATTGATACCATAATCCCACCATCTCATGAGATTGTGAGGATTGTAAGGGTTCATGTTCCTCTTGGCACTCTCACAGAACATCAGCTGGTGATTGTGGGAGTGTTACGGTTGTTGCCATTCGTGCCAGGATCATGAAAGATATCCTGCAGTATGATCTACACTAGATGAGCAGTTTATACATGCTTTCTCACTTCTGCCTTTTCCTCTCCTTTCATTTTTTCTTACTTAATTAGTTCTTTTAACTTTTAAATTGATGTGCCCCTTGGGGAGTGAGTGGGAAGTTCTCAGCTAACTCATATATGAGACAAATGGAGATACTGGTAGCTGTGAATAATTTTCTGGTTTACATTTTTTTAGTATATAAAAGCTCGAAATTATACATTAAAGAAATAAGCAAAGTGGGAAAAAATTGTTTCTATTTAATAAATGGAGAAGTCCTTGAATACATTAATTATCAACCACTGACATTTGGCAATGTTTTCAGCAGATGTTGAGGCAATGTTGGTTCAGTTCTTTTAATGACAGTGAAACAATTTTAGATTCCAAATGGAGAACTGTAGAGGTTCAGTGAAGCTGTAGATAAAATGTGTGACATGCTGTATCTTTACATATAGGGATAGCTTCAAGTTGGTTCTTACTGAATTTTATAGTAAGAGTTGTTCTGCTAATTTGAAATAGGACAATTGTAATTGTCTGCAAAGAGAGGATGATGACAGATGATGCGAAAAGCAGAGTGGATGCCACTGGGGTGACTTGGGAATCACAAAAATCAGCAGTTGTCAAACTAATTCGTTTAATAGAGGAGCTAACATACTTGCTAAGTGTCTGACCTCATTATGAAATAATTACAAACTACCCCCACATTAGTTTGAGGAGGACACAGCTGAAATGTGTTTTCTTTATTTAGGGAGAGAAGGCAGTGTGATGAAAGTGTCATGTTTAGGCAAGAATTAAATGCCTCCTGCCAGCAATCAGTGTCAGGGCTCTTATTCCCAGGTACCATCCTAACCAAGAAATTGCCTGGCGGAGTGACTGCAGCTACACATCCTATGCATTTTCTGAGGGATTGTGTAAATCCCCCAGAAGTCCTTCCCCAAGGCTTTTTGGGACAGTAAAGACCAAGCTGTGGATGCTGTGTGGGGCAGGTGGGCAGGACCCACACTGATGGGGTGGAGGCAGAGGTGTCCCTGCAGCCAGAACATCACCCTGTGTGTGTGCTGAGCAGGGCTGGGCAGCTGCCAGAGACATAAATAATATGGCACGAGTGGAGGAGAGAGCATCATGCAGTGCTGCCACAGGAAAGGACCTGGAGCAGGTCAATGGCCAGAATTCTGGTGGCTGTCTCCCAAAGTGAAACAGTGCAGTGCTGATATTGCCCCAAAGCAGGATTTACTCACGGATAAACAGCAGCAGGAGGAAGGAGCCTTTAGTCTCTTGACTTCTTATTTTACACTTTTGAGACCTGGGACCTTCCCTGGTTTGCTGGGGGACTGTTGATTTCTCCTTTCTCTGCTGTATTTTCTTATCTCTTGCTTTCACCCTAGAGATGCTTGGCTCTCTTCTGCTTGACATCTAGTGTCACACACCTCTAAATGCCATTTAATCTATATGGCTGAGTGATACAACTGTAAATATGTTCCTGCATTTTATCATCTCCCACATTTCTCCATTTTTCTCTCTCTGGCATGCTTTTTGATGTAGGAAATCCTGTTTAGGGACTTCTTTTTACTGTCTCCTATTATAAAACATATAGCCACATATTTCATTTTGAGCATGGACTTGTGTGTACTTTGCAGCCTCACTTTCTATGAAATACACCCCCTACAATCTTCAGACTTCACAGTCCAGGCTTAAATGCAGTTGTGAGCTTTAGTCTGCATTTCAGTATGCACAGAATCAAGCCCATAGTTTTGGCTAGATCTTAACCAGAGGACTTTGGATACTGAAGAGAACTTCATATGGGTTGTGAGAAAATAGCAATTTTACTATTTAACTTTCAGCAGATGGAAAAACAATGTGTATTTAAGAGCAAAAGATATGAAAAAGCACCAGCAGTGTTCTCATCTCTTGAGCAAAAGTTGCATACTTTCACCGAAATACAATGGCATTTTCAAAACTTCAGGCCAATATTTCTACCTAGGTATTTTCTCTGGTGTTAATCCTTCCTAAAATATTTTGAAATGAGCATTGAAACTTCAATTCTGAGCCAGCATTGAAAACACAAACAAGCAAACCTCAGGAAACACTTTTAATGTGGTTATTTGTGTGTAATCCAGCTGGATGAAGTGGCACGTATAAAATTATGATAGTAGAGAATGCACTCGCCTTCTGTTTGTTTTGCATTTCCAAAAACAGTCATCATTTTGTCTTGTTTTCAGTGTTCAGTTTAGTCCTGCTCTGAGGACACAGTCTGGTTAACAAAAATAATAACTTACCTGCACTTTTAAATGTCAGGGCTGAAAGTTATGCAATCACAGGACTGGTATTTGGTTTTAACCCTGCAGCTGATTGTAGGTCTGTCCCTTTTCAGCAAACAGTGGACAGGCTGGCTATGTGCTATGAGCTATCCAGGGCATGAATCCAGAACACAAAGCTGACTGCCCTTGCTATGGCTAATCATATGGGAACCCTTAGCTATGAGAACTGTCCTCCTGGATGTCCCTAAGCCATGGTGGCAGGCAGCAAGTAGCTTCTCCTTGCCACAAGAGTAGGGAATTGGAGCAGGGAATTGCTAACTACTGAAATTATTCCTCTTTTGGTTTATATGAGATGGTGGCACACCAACAATTAAGCTTTGACTATAAGAAACAGGAGCTTAAACAGCCAGAGGGCATTGTAAAGTAGGCAGAATGCAATTTCCTCAACTGGAATCTGTTGAGAATTCCCACAGGGATTAACCCCTTCTCTTATGGAAGTTTTCACTGATTTTGGTTTGCTTGTATTAAAGATGCAGCTAAGAACTGTGATTTTTTTTGTATTTATATGTTATTACTTGCTATACAATCTAATAAAATTTTAGAAGGCCCTGAATTCTGGTGGCCCTGTAAGAAGCAGTGTTTCTTCACAGTATGGGCACTGCTGCAGCCAGCTTTCCCCAATTCCCGTTTGCTCTGTGTCTGCTCAGTGTCTGTGCCAGGAGCAGGGAGATGATGCTCTGTGCCAGCTCCTTGTGGCACTCCACAGCCCAGAGCATTAGGGCAGTGGTGACCATGACACTGGATAGAAGTGTCTGTGTGAGTTTTTGGCTACACAGCCTGTGTGTAGCTCAGTCAGCTGGGCTGAGGCTGCCACGACCTGTGGGCTTATGTTCCCACACACTGAATGGGCTTCACAGCCATTCAATACTCAGAAAAAGCCTGTTTGAGACTGGCTTGTGTGTCTCCATGAAATGCAGTCTGGAGATGTAGGTGCTACTTTAAATAAGCCAGCTGCAGACAAGTAAATTCACGTCCTGTAGGATGTGGCACAGAGCAACACCCCAGGTGGAAATAGTGTTGTAGCAATATAAACCAGATTGTACTGGAATTCACAAGAGAAGAAAATAGGTTCATGAGAGGAAGAAAGTCTGTGAATAATCTTTTCTACTATCAAATTCACTTAATCTTCATTACTGAAGACTGCAATCCAAAGGGAGTGCCCAGGTACAAACCTGCTCAACCCTATCCTCTATGTTACAGCCACAGAGCAAGACCTCAGAATGGCTGATAAGAGCAATTTTGGGACTGCTAGTCAAAAAACAGAGAGAAAGATGCTCAGGACCTGAGCCTGCTAGCAGGGAGAGGGAAGGACATGTCTAAACATCCTCTGAAATAAATAATTGGTTTGTACAGCAGCTCAATGATGGAAGCAGCTTCTGGGTGTCCCAGGGAACAGAGCTGTACAGGTGAAGAGTGAGTAGGTGGAGTATCTGTCACAGAGTGGGAAGAAGATTATGAAATAGTGAGGTGTGTTTCTTTCTTCTTTACAGAAGGATTGGGATTGTCTTCTGCTACAGCCAGAGAACACCCCACTGGTAGCAGGACCCATGTCCCAAGGCAGCAGACTCTTGGCTGCTGGTCAGTCTGGTGTATCAGCCTTGGGCTTCACCTTCTCTCCCTCCACAGAAGCTTTATATTGCTTCTCTGTGCAGCCTGGTCATAATCAAAATGATGAAATTTTTTTGAAATTTCAGTGGTAATAGAATCTTCCTAGAAGTAGCTTTTCAGAGACATGGAAGGGAAACTTGCAGATGCTTTTTTGAGAGAAAAATTATTGCCTATTACACATTTTTATTACCCCCTCAAAAATTCCTTCTGTGTTGTGCTTTTGGAAGAGGTTGGTATTAAAAGACTGCGTCTGGGAGGCTTCTGGATTATTTTACACTGATCCAACAAAAGACATCTTGTTTGTCCTTCCAGCTTTTCCTTTCACATGCAGTTGCAACAGGAAGTTACTCATTATTGCATTTACATTTTGCATAAAGCAACATACAAAAGTCATGCATTTAATCCACTCACATTTTTCTGTAGCTGTTTTGAAGTAGGTGGACTGTCTTCACCATTAAGGTTAATCACAGATTGCTTTCTAGAGTAGATTTATATATCAAGGTGGAGTGTCACTTAGAAGGTGAACAAAGAGGATTGGGGACTGAAAATATTTCTTTATCTTGGGGATTTCACTGGGGTCTGTCCTGTAGCTGAGACTGCAGATACTGAGTTCTATTCATACTTAATAACTCAATTTGGAATTTTACTTTTTCAGATCTCTGTTGAGGAACTTGAAAGAAATTTGATTATAAAGGTCAACAGGGATGCAGTTATGAAAATAGCTGTCTCAGGAAACCTGTTTACACTGGAAAAGGGAGTGTATCAGCTGAATTTGACAGTAGGAGGCATTCCTTTCAAAACAAAGGACCTTATTCTACCAGTAAGTATAGCATGATAACTTGTGTTCCTTTGCATGCCTGAAGGGCTTGATTTCATCTTCTCTTGGGGTAATGTAGGTCCTTCCTGAGAGCTGTTCAACCTGCCCTGAAACAGGTGGAATGATCACCTTCTGGATACAGCTTTCTGTCCATTGACTATAGCAGGAGCCTAAGCCAGTAGCAAAGTTGAGTCTCCATATTTTTTGATTGGTAAGTTTGGGTGAGATGTATCCCACCTGCAGAGTTAGGGCACAGCAAAACTGGAGCACATGACAAGATTCACAGTGGTCATGCTGGCTTGGAGAGCAGGAGTGGCCTGGGGAGGGGTCAGTGGGCATGCTGCTGTGAGAGGGTGCCACTGTGCCTGCTAAGTCTGGAACCGACGTCGGGGCACTCTGTGTTGTGACCAAAGTTTGTTCTTCACGTGTAACAAATCACAATTTGCTGCATGTGTTTGCTGTATCAGCAAGGATAAACAGAAGGTTATTTTTCTTTATTTCCTCCTAATTGAAGTAGATGCAACATATGAATAGAAGTTCTTATTCATACAACATATGAATAAAATCTTACCCAAGGACCAAGCCAGTCCTTGGGTGAGATTGGATGATTGATGTGGTTCTGGAATAGCTGCTGCTCAGGTTGGTTTAAATGCCCACCACAAGCAGAGTTGGCACCTTGAAATCCAAATTTGCATCTCTTTATTCCTAAATGAGGTGACAAGGTTGTGTCTCTGTGATTGGGAGTGCAGCAGCTGAGCCTCACAGCTCCTGTGCCTCACAAGAAGTCATTCAGGGCCACTGCTTGTCAGAAACAGTAAGCCCAGGGTGTAGTCAGAATCTAGGACCGAGAGCCAGAAACTCCTCAGGTTTTTATCCTGGCTCAGACACTTAATTCTCTCTCTCCTTCACTTAATTGGGGATATCAGTGCTGATTTAAAGACTTTGCAAGGAGCCTTCTCTTTACACATTGACTCACATTTTAATGCTGACATTAGGACAGGATAGGCTAACTAGAAGCTGGAAGGAATAAGGTGTGTACAGAGCAGTGTGCTGGTCTTGTGGTGCCAGCACTCCTCCTTGAGCCAGAGCCCAAAAACTTAAACTATGATCAGCACCAAGGTCTGTCTTGTGTGTCATACAGGCTGTTTGCAATGACAAAAAGGATTGGGATTTTCAACCTTAACTTAGCCTCCAGCATTTGCAATGCTGAATTATGGAGCTTTGGCTGCAGAGCTTTAGAAATAACTTGTATTAATGATGGGCAACACCTAGAGGAGCTTACAGAACACTTAAAACCAAATCAGCACCTGCACTAGCTAGTGCCCTTGGGGCCCATGGAGACAAGCTGAGCTCAGGGCAGTTTCCTGGGGAAATACTGACCACTCACCTGCTTGGGGTTGCAGGACTGGGTTTGCTGCCTCTTGGTTTGCATGTGCATAACATGTCAAAATTATTTCTACTGTTTAGTATGATAATATAAGTATTCCTTTGCACACTCAGTATTCCTTTGCACACAATTCCTCTTCATTGAATAGTCACTTGAGGCATAAGACACTGCTTTATCTTCCCAGATAAACCCACGGCTGGATGGTTGCATGCGGGCGTGGAACTGGCTGAATGGGGAGGACACCTCTATCCAAGAGACCATAAAGATGAATGAAAAGATGCAGTGCTTTGCTGTAGCAGGACGAGGCTCTTTCTATCCTGGACGAGGTTTTGCTGTGTTTAATCTAACTTACAGTAAGTAGGCTGGGTTTTTTTTGTTTCTGACCTGTTGTCCTGCCATTAACCATACCTGGTTAATAAACAGTGTTAAAACTTAGGTGTGTGCCAGACTCACTGTTGATTGATGCAGAAAAGATTAAACTTATGGTTCTTAGTAAAGGAAGGCTGTAAATGATAGTTCAAGCCAATATGCCCAGCAGGGATTAGGTTCTTTCTGTGTAGCTCCAGTAATACATTTCACAGCCAGACTGGCTCCAGCTCATCCTCAGCCTTAGAGGCTTTACATCTCTCTGTCAGCAGCTTAGGTGCTTCCAGCCTCTACCATTCCTTTCTGCTCAACAGGGAGACCTGCAACTATACTACTGTATCTTGAGGTTATGACAGACAGAAAAATTAATATTGTCCATTGTCTTGGATTCACTTTTAATTATGGGGTGTCATTACTTACACCTGGGACAAATGCTCTAAGCATATCTCTGCTGATTCTGATTCTGATCACAATACAGTAATAACAGGTTTCAAATCAAACTTGTCCATACTAATGTAGCACTCAGAAAGGCACCTTTTGTTGTTCTAGATTATTGTGTTTGCTTATCTGTGCAATCAACCAATCAGTATTCCTGAACCCACAGAAATGCTGACCATCAATTTCAGAGTGGTGTGTAAGTCCTGCTCTGCAGGAGCCATCTGTTCTGTGTTATGTGGATTTTTCTGCTGTGCCGTGGTAAATTAGGGAGTACCAGGTGTCTGTCATATTACTTAGCACATGGATTCCAAAGTTGCAAAGTAAAGACAAGGCATCACCTAAAATGCAGGTGACGTGCAGATGACAGCCAAGATAAGGCCTCATCACCTGCTTCTTTTTTTCCAAAACTACTATTATCTTTTCTTTCTTCTTTTTTATTTGCAGTGGAAAGCTTTATAAAGAATGAATTATTGTATTTCAAGATGTGATGAACCTGCAAAGCTAATAGTCCTGTGAAGGGAGGTTGCAGGAGCAGGTTGAGATTTTTCTTTGCAGCCTGCATTACCTTTTAAATTTTTAGGCCACTGAGGCAGTAAGAAGATACCAGAAAGTTTAATTCAGGGTTCAACTGGTGAAATAAAACATGCCACAATTCTCAGAGATTGGTGATCAGGGAAAGTTTGAGTAGGTGATGAGTGTAGCATGCTTATACAATTTTTGAGTTTAATACAGGCTTTCATAGAAACGTTGCCTGTGTGTCAAATTTCAACTCAAATTTCTCAATGATCTTTAGGCAGACTGGTTCAAAAACTGGGTTTTGATTGACCTCTCTTGCAGCAGTTCTTTGAATTTGTCAGATTGGCAGCCATGGGAATTTGTGATAAAAAGCTTTATGTTATCCTTTGACATTCTGAAAAGCAGAATAATGCCTAAGGTAACAAGAGGAAGCTGATGCCATTTTCTTGTCCAATTTTATGTTCAGGTGCTTTGGAATTATTATTTTTTGATTTAAAAAAAATATGGCAGTCTCTCCAGATGCTGCTCCGCCTATGCCCTTCTCCAGGGAGGAATTGAACAGCTTACCCATTTGACACATTGTCCAATGAATTTATTTTTCTGCAGTGCAACCTCCTTCTGGAAATGAAACCATGACAAATTGGGAAATCGAAGTAAATGCTGTAATTCAACCAGCAACAGACACTGGTGTGCTGTTTGCCCTAGTTACAGAAGAAGCATCTGTCCCTTTATCACTATCTCTGATTGACTATCACTCCACAAAGAAACTGAAGCAACAGGTACAAACAAGTATTTCTGTAGAGAAGTTTCCTTGCTGTTCCCTGCTTTGCTGCCTGTCTCATTATTTGTCCCACCTGTTCATAGCATGTTCTGAAGCAACAGTGCTTGCCTGAAGTTCTGCCTCTTACAGGTGTGTGTCAGATGCTAATAGGGAGCTCTTTGCAAATGTGGCCTAGATAGAACTGAATGCAGGCTTATTTTTTTTTTTTTCTGGTACAGAAACTGTTTAGTGCCATAAACCAGAGATTTCCATTCTTCCTTATCAGTAACTGTCCCAAAGTAGCCAAGAGGCAGGCTTTAGGTGTGGGAAAGGTGCTGGGAAAAGCCAGTCATGGTGCAGTGTTGAAGCTACTATTTAATGGCATTCCACAAGGGTAAAACAGGAAGGATTTCACTAAATCCCATGAGCCAATTTTCATTTATAGTACAGCAGCTCCAGTTGGTTGTCCCCAGTGCAATACAATGACTTCTGCAAGACCCACTAAGAACTCTCTCTGAGAAAACACAGTTTCAAGAATTAGTCCCACTGGTTTGCTGGTTTTTCATCTGTGAAAATGAGCTCAGAACACAATCAGCAATACCAATAAGCCTAATTCTCTTGGAACTCTGCAAGATATTTGTAATAAAGGGCACATTGGGCTCATCCTGGTACTGGGTAAGTGTAGCCAGGTATTTTTCTGCTCATTGCCTGTTTTTCTTTGTTTCCCCTGCTGTTCAGTTTATCATCGTGGCCGTGGAGAACACAGTTGTGTCCAGACTGGCAATAAATCTCTGTGATAAAAAGGAACACTCTGTAGATGTCCTCCTCAAGAAAGATCACTTATCCCTGAGGGTAGATGGGGTAGCAGGAGAGAGTGAACTCAGCATCTCTGAGTTGGAGGACAGTCTGTCCACCTTGGAGAGCTCTTTGCAGTCAACGAAGACATACGTGGGAGGATTGCCAGGTGAGCCTCCAGTTTTTTACCAAGGACCACAGACTTCCAACTTGCTTTGCTGAGCTGGGAGTCAGAAAAACTGTTTCTATTCAAGCTGTGAGAGTCCTTCTCTGTTTCTGCTTGAGCAGGCTTTGTCTGCGATGCAGGAACATAATGGATCTGGGGTTGCACTTCCCATGAATGATTGTGTCCTTCTGAGGGCAGCTGAAGGCAAAAATAGAAGGAGGAGGTTTTGCTTGTTCAACAATAGGAATGATTTAATTGGAAGGATTGCTGTAAGCTGGGTTACTATCTTAAACCTGGTGAAATCCATAGGAGCTGGGCTGCAGGTTCCTGCAGTGCTTCATTAATGTAATGAATCCATGGGAGCACTCTTTGAGGGGAGCACTAGAGCCTCAAGGTGTTTTGCCTGAAACTTGGGAAGCCCAGTGTGATGATTGTCCCTGGCTGATGCACTTTGTGATCACAGCACGACACAGTTAACTGATTGCCTCTCAGCAAGGGCCGTGTAGGGCACAACCAAGGGGTTAAACCATTTATAGTGTCTCTGGCTTTTCAGCAACAGCAGGGTTTCTTCTGGGAGGTCAGTTTACTCCTCTCTTCTGAACCTTTAAGATCAAACTTTCATCTGAATCATGAATTGTGGCCAAGTTTGGAAGTTTGTTTCTTGTTCTGCCTGAACAGGTTTATCAGTCCCTTCTGCTGAGGAATGCTATTAAAGGAACACTTATGTCTCTGATGCACATGATGCCAGCAGCTAAGCAAAATCTTGCCCTTACTTGCCCAAGCAAGGGAGAGTACAAATGTTGGCCTCTTGTGAGGTGCTGAAGCAGTCAGGCAGGAACAGGGTGGCTGAGGTGCCACACAGTACACATGGTGTGGCTGTCCCCACCATGAGCAAGAGTTTACAGAGGATTTATGCTGATGATGCAAATGGCTCCCAGTCACACCTGGAAGGGGAGGCCACCTACTCTGGGACATTCACACAGTGGCAGGAGCGAGGCTGAAATCCCAAACGTGGCATTTTCTACTCTCAGATTGAATTATCTAAGCTGGCCATTGCACAGGCAAGAGAGGTTGCCTGCTTTTTTTTAAGCTGCTCTCAGACGCACAGTGGAGACTTCCACAGCTCAGAAAATCACCCTATTCTGTCACTGTCCCAGGTTCTCTGTGGTTTGCTCAGACTACCTGTGCTGGGTGCAGCCCTGGTTTTCATTTGCCAGAGCTGAGAGTGAGATGCCATGGCTGTGGCAGCTCAGGCTCAGCTGGCTGCTGTAGGTTTAGCTGCTATCCCCCCTTTGATCTGTTGTGCTTAGCAACAGGAATTTCTGCCAGCACTCTGTTTTTGCCATTGAGAGGAACCCAGTGCTTGCATGAGAAACCTTGTCGTTTGCCAAATAAATAAACATTTCAGCACTTCCAGTTGGATTAATCACTCTGGGCTAAGTAACAATACCGAATGGTCAGATCTAAGTGAGTTTGGCTCATTCAGATTTTGAAAACATTACGTAGTTTTTAGTTTTTCCATGCTTCCATACCCTGTGGAAAAAACAGTATAGTGGTCAAACTTCACGTCTTCATTCCATTTGCCACAAATAAAGAAAGAATTCTGGATCCAAATATGTATTAAGTCTGATCCTAAGCACAGCTAATGTTGCAGATGTGGAAGAAATACTACTTAGAGTTTCAACAGATAAGAGGGAACATGTAGACATTAATTACATTTTGTATAGTCTTTTCAGTTCTGGTAAATCCTAAATTATGTAATTTATGTGACGCATAGGTGATTTTTCAGAAAATATGCATTCCATCAGGTGAAGGAGCCATTAAACTAGGCTTCCAAATCTTTACATGACCATATTTTGGACAGATCAATTTCTAGTCATAACAGAAAATGAAATATTTCATATAATTTACAACACAATGAAAAAAAAAATTCTTTTTAATCTCTTGTAAATCCATCTGAAAGCCCACACTGTCTTTCAGTCAGCTCTGTGGCACATGTAACAACAATCTGCTTGACTCCTTAGACAAGTCTTCAAGTTGTTAGGTCACAACCTCAACTCCTTCTGACTCAAAATTTAGTTTACATTCATGTGAGGTATTACAACAGAGATGCTGCATTCCTTCAGCAGACTTTGCAGATAAACCTTGGTAAATGGGGAGGAATGGGAAATAGATAACATCACTAAATAACGAAACTACTGAGCAATGGTAGCTCTCCCCCAGGAAGCTGAAGAGATTTATAGTATTTCTTTGCTGCTTACAGATCTCCCACAAATGTTCTCTCTCCCACTCAGTCCTAGATTCTGTCTGAGCTCTGTCTGATCACATCAGCCCTGCATATCTCCAGGCAGAACACTTTAAATTTCATATAATCTTGGGTCAACAGGACAATCTATTGTTCAAGTTGTCCTTGCTTCGATGTAAAGATAAGTGATTTATTTAGCTACCTGAATCACTGTGAAGTTAAATATTTTTTGAGGCATTCATTATTTTCCATTGCACAACCAGTTTGATTGGGTCAGCTTTAGGCTGTAAATAAACTAAAGACCTTTGGGGAAAGGTAGAGGACAGAGCTCGTGTGTATTTTCTTGTCGTTATGATACTGTGTTGAGTTTTTGTTTGTTTACAGTCAGTGTGCATATGATATTACTGAAGTTAGTAGTAAGATTGACTAATTTCCTCTAGTCTATTGGATTGTATTTAGCATCTTCTTCCTTGCCATCTGTTTTCTGTCTCTGGTAAACTGATTAAAAGAACAGTGGATCTCCACAGTAAAAATTAGTCTCATTAGTCTGACCAATTCAACTGATGCATTCCAGCACCTTGCTGATGAAGGCCATCAACCTTCCTGTGCTCATACACAGCAAAATCATGTAAAGATGAGTCCAGCAAGTGGTAGAGGCAGCATATGGGAAGTGCTTTCTTGTCATAAAGTTCCTCCTATAATCTTTTGGAGCTAATTTGAAGAGAAAGAGCATTAGAGGAAGGTCTAACATCTCCACCAATAACAAAGCAGAGGGTTTGGAGATGGAGGGGGGAAAACACGGGGCACAGTGTTTTCCACTGTGTGTGAACACATTGTGCCACTGCAGTGAAGCCTTGCTGCTGTGCAGCACAAGGTTCCACGGTTTCATCTGGTCTGGAGGCCTTGCAGAGACACAGAGCAGCTGAGGAAGGGTTCAGCCTGGGAGAAGGGCTTTTGTGCACCAGAACAGATGGTGTTTTCCTCACGTCTGGGATTGTGCTCTTGCCTTCTGGCAAGGGGGCAGGGGAGGTAGAAACACCAGCATGGAAAGAGGTGAGCTTGAATGAATGAAGCAATAGCCATCTGAGCCTAGGCAGGGCAGGTGTTTATTTAAAGGCAGCTCTCAGAGATATTTATCTGCCCTTCCCGACAGACGTTCCTGTCACCTCCACTCCGGTCACCGCGTCCTACCACGGCTGCATGACTCTCAAGCTGAGCAACACGGCACTGGACTTAGATGAGGCTCTCTACAAGCACAGTGACATCACCTCACATTCCTGTCCTCCAGTCCAGGAGGGTCAGTAGGTACCACTGCAATGCGAAAGTTTTATACTCAGAAACTTTCAGTGCTTTTCTTTTTTTAAAAGATATAAATTATTCAGATCTACCGCACTGCGTGTATAGTTTCTCTTAAACACTGAAGTTACGTAGAAGCTACTGATCCTTATGTCAAATTGATTATTGAAATACTCTTTGCTTTGAGGTTTAAAGGTTGTAATATATTTGTAAATAGTTCAGAAGACTAATATTAAATAAGTCAAAACAGAATGTACTGAAAGTGAATACTATCTTTAGACTGTAAGAGACAGTTTCATCTGTAATGTGGGAAACCTGGTAATATATGAGTGTGGACTGGAAGAAAAATAAGAATTCTGTATTATTTTTTATTACCGAACATTGCTTTCTGATTTGCAAAATACGAGAGAATAAAATATTTACATACAAGTTTTTAATTTACCTGTACTGAGATTATTCTGTATTCTGGTATTTGGAGACAGTGACTCAGACTGTGCCTGATCTGGAGGTTACACTGGGGGAGGGTGGGGGAGAGGGGAAGGGCTCGTTTTGGTTTTGGTTTTTTTGGGGGTTTTTTTGGGTTTTTTTGTTGGTTTTTTTTGTTTGTTTGTTTTTTGGGGGTTTTTGTTTGTTTGTTTGTTTTTTGGTTTGGTTTGGTTTTGTGGGGGTTTTTTTGGTTGTTGTTTTTTGGTTTGGTTTTTTGAGGTTAAGGGTTGGGGGTTTATATGCCTTCATCAGTATTTCATATCTTCTCAGCTGCAGAGCAAATGGTGGCTGCTGTTCTTATTTCTGGAGTTTCTCTTTCTGGTACCACAGAAAAAAACTCAGTTGTGACCTTTAGAAAAACTCTTGGTCAACAGAAAATGGAAAATGAAGTTGGGTCAGCAGGAAACATTTAGAAGAAAAGACTCAAGAAGTTGAAAGCCATACAGCTTTTGTGTCAATAGCTGTTGGAGTAAATGATGAGGTGTTGAGAGTTGGGGAATATTATCTGGTGATGACATATTTTTGCTGCTGCATTTTTAGGTTGGCTCATTCACTGTGAGCAGTGGGAGCAGAGAGGCTTGAGCTGTGAGAGTTAGCCAGGCTGAACTGCATGAGGTGAGAATATCTGTGGGGGTTTATGCAGGAAAGGTTTTAGAGCAATAAAGTGTGTTCAGCTTTTCAGCTATCCTTCTGAACTTGCGATGGGCTTTGCCTAGCCTTTCATGAGTCGCTTAAGTCTTGTTTTATTTGGTCCTCTCTTGCATCAAAATAATAAACTGAGTAATCTTGGTATATGCTGTGGCGCAAAATCCAAGTATTAGGTGGCTAAAGCTACACCATCCTTCAGAGGATTAGCATGAAAAAGGCTACACCATCCTTCAGAGGATTAGCAAATACAAGCTCTTTTATAAATTATTCTTGGTCAGTCATGTTATGTTTTTCCTAAGCAGATAAGGAGATAACACATTAGTCTAATAATCTTCATGTGTGGCAACATCTGCGACCAAACTGTGAAGATACAGCTGTCCCAGTGGAAAGAGGCAAGAAGGGGAAGACTATTCCAAGCACATTTTCTAGCAAGGATCCCTGCTTTATTTAGCAGAGAAGAGGAAGGTACTCTTTTAGCCATTAGACATGACATCATAGCTTCTTATCATAAGTAAAACAATCAGCAGTAATGCAGCAGGGCAGAAAAGAACAGAACTTTATCACTTTGAACCAACCTACTCATTTATACTTGGAGAAGGACCTACTGTCAGCTCTGACCAGACACAAAATTTGAAAGGAAATTTCCCGCTAGACAGTAATAACTTACTGACAGACTGTCATACCTAGGAGTAGTTTATGGTTTTGGTTTTTTTTAGTTAAGCAAGGGAAACCACCTTGTTCCTGAAAGTGCTTTATGTTACTGCTGATGACTCTGGATCAATTTGTGATCCATTCTGGGGCTGTAGTTTGGGTTTTGGCTGGAAACAATGTTGATAACTCTAGGATGTTTTAGCTGTTGCTCAGCTGGGCTTGCAAAGTGTAAAGAGCTTCTCTATTTCACACCCACCAGTGAGGGGGCTGGGGGGGCACGAGGAGTTGGGAGGGGGCACAGCTGGGACAGCTGATCCCAAGTGACCAGAGGCATGCCCCACACCATATGGCCTCATAATCAGCACATAAAGCTGGGGGACAAAAGGGGGAGGGGAGGGACACTTAGAGTGATGGTCTTTGTCTTCCCAAGTCACTGTTTTCCATGTGACGTTGCCCAGCTTTCCTGGAGATGTCTGAATACCTGCCTGCTCACGGGAAATGGTGGGTGAATTCCTTGTTCTGCTTTGCTGGTGTGTGTGGCTCTTGTTTTACCTATGAAACTCTATCTCAGCCCATGAGTTTTCTCACTTTTACCCCTCTGATTCTCTCCCCAGTCCCAGCAAGGGAGAATGAGTGAGTGGCTGGCTGGGGCTGGGCTGCTGGCTGGGGTTCCACCACAAAAATCTCCCATCTTTGAGACTTGGAATAACTCCACTGAAAAAAATTACAGATTTGGAAGACCCCTATTTTTATACCAAGACGATGAAACAAACCCTGCTTTACTTTGGTGTTTTGTTTTTTTTTTTTTTCAAATGAAACAATCTAGCAAAATAGTTTCATGTCTGGTATTTTGGTAAAATCCCTGTGGTGGTTCCGAAAAAACTACCATGTGGCATAAATGAATCACAAACATGTCTGACTTTTGTGTTAATGTAAGTGCCACTATTTATGTGGCCAGAATTATTCTGGGTCCTGGAAACGTGAATCCTGTGGTATGTTATGGTACTCTGCAGTTCCATACTAAATGTCACGTGTACAAGAGCATTTTATTCTCTAATTCAGAGCAGAAATTGCTCCCAAACTTTGCATATGTGTGCATGTATGTGTAGATATTTTGTATAGACCAAAATGCACCCTGACTCAAAATGTGGTTTAGAAGAGAAACTTTGAATTTCTCAGTCTGGAGAATGACAGAAGAGGTGAGGGGCAAGGCAGGGGTGGAGTGTAAAGATGATTTTTTTAATACCCTACCGCTGTACCACACTGGAGAAAGGTTTGGAAGAAGAGGTAGCTGCAATAAGCATTCCTTCATTCCTTCTCAGTCATTGCTTCAACCCAAGAGAAACATTGATTTCATCCTTGTTGAGTTAGTCTAGGTGTTCAGCCTAAAGGGATCAAGTCTGTTCTGGACTTTGAGTCCTCAAAATGAACCCTGATGGTTCCCCTGGTAGTATTCATAGCAGGTAAAAATAAGTAAATGTGTAGCTTCACTTATTTCATAGTCAGAATGACTGTGCTTTTCACAGCCTGTATTTGCACAAGAACTAAGCATTTGGGATGCATTAAATTAATGTTTAAAACAAAACAAATGGTCTCTTTTCTGACTTCTGTTTTTGTCAGCCATATTCGTATAACTCACCTTGTCAACAATACACATAAGGCACCTCATCACTGGCCTAAAACTTTGCATCTCAGAAAAACCTTAATTGAACAAAAGGTGGCTTTCATGGTCTATGTAAATTAATCTCTTCTTATGTGTATCAGTCCTGGCTCAGCTTTTAATACATAGAGGTAAAACACACGAATTAACTGATATTTTTTGCAAGTTGCAAAGTATTATGCAAAAGGATGATCCCTCTTTTTTCCATTTTAAGCAGGTCTGATGGTGTCTCTTCCTTTCAAAGGAAACTGTCAAGTAAACTGGTTTTGTTTATTTAGTTTTTTTTAATATCTTCATAATACAGAGCAGCTGCTTAAAATGTTAATGAGAAATACCTTCCATTTCCTGTTTTACTCTTTGGCATTTCAGGAAATTTCTAGAGCTTCACTGCTGTCTAGACTGTAAGATCTATGGAGCAAGAAGCACCAACACCCTTCCTGCAGGAGCAAAATGCAGAGAAGGGATGCAGTATTTAGATGAGTTTTCATGCTGTTTGTAAGTACCCCTGTCCCAAAATCCAGCAGGTGTGTGCCAAAGGAAACCCAGATAATGTGGTGCATGGTGAGGAGGCAGGGTGCAGACAACAGGGACATGGCTTTTTTCCTGTCAGTGGCACTGCCAAAGGTATTGTTGCTTAGCCTTTGGGGAAAATAAATACATTAAAAAAGGAATTGGGCCCCTTCATTCCTTTCATCCTTTCATTCACTCTGTTTCAGTAATTGTGAAATACCTGCATTAGGTCTTGGATTAACTTAAAAACAAATAAGAGGCATTTAACCTAAAATGATTTGGCTTGTGGTGCTCTTTTGACTAGAAAGGAATTAATTTGAACATTAAAGTGTAACCTAAAATACATGTCTGGAAATGGTATTTTTAGTGCATTAACATGACATTTTATTATGAAGACTAGACTGGCACAAAGTTCAGCTAAAACAGTCCAAATAGACTTAGCCTTTCTATCTGAAACTTGAAAAGGGAACTGATTTGGTAGTGTACGTCTTCCTCTGTTCTTTTGTTTTCCTTTCCTTCCAAATATACACAGCCTTAGGATAGTATAAATATACACAGTGAACTTTATTGTAAAATAATTGCCACACTTTATTGGTACAACACGTTCACCAGAAGAGTTATTAAACTACAAGCAAACAAACTCTTGCTACTCAAAATTATTGACTCTGGGAGCTCCCAGCTACCCACTCAGACAACACAGGCTAAAACCCCTCAATACTGGTTCATGAAAGCAGAACATATATCTGGAGTGTTTTCTTCATTTTTCCTCTTGAAGAAAATCTGTTCTGCAGTGGACTGGGTGGGAAACATCTCATGCTTACAGTAGCCAGAAATTTCTGCTACATCTGACTGCAGGCACACTGAGTGGTGGCGTGCCTGCCCTCACAGCTCCAGGGCTCTGCCCTGCTCACAGGGAGATGTGGGTAAGAGCAGAGTGGCAGTAACACTCTGTGCTGGGCTCCTTTGGGAAGTCTAGTGCCTGCACTGCACAGTTTCCAGAGGTTTCTTTAAAACAAAATAAAAGCCTACCAGCTACTAAAATAATTTCTTTGTTCTATGGTGCATATGGTGGAGGCTTTTCTCCAGGCAAGCAGTAAGTTGGTGTGTAGAGGGCTGGAGCATTTGGGGGAAGACCGTAGCTGGAGCTGGACTGGGATGGAGGCTGAGTTTCTTCTGATAAAGAAATGTCAGTAGATGATGTTCCTGGAAAATTGCTGGCAGGCTGTATCAGACAAGGAAAAATAACTTCTTCAGTAAAGGATTACAACCCCACTGCAGCTTTATGTTGTTTGCCATGTGTTACATAATAAGCCCCACAATTAAATTTCTCATGCATTGCAGCACAACATTAACTTCAGTTCTAAAGCACCTGCTTAAGTGTAGCAATGATGGTGTCTAGTGAAACAAGAGATTCCATCTGTAAGCCAAGTCATTTTTGATAGACATTGTGCAGACAGCTAGGCAATACAGCAGAACAGGAATTTCTGCAGGAAAAGCTGCTTGGCTTCCTGGGTGAGGCACAGCACCTGACTGACTGATTAGGTTACGTGTAGCTGCTCCTTTCCAGGCCTCACTGTGAAATTTAAATTACCTCAGATGTAATTAATCTCAATTATAATACTTGCATAATTATTTGCCAAATGCAGATCCTCGTAAGAGAAAATTTTACAGGTGTCTCCCTCTTTGGCAGTCAGCTATGATGGGGATTTGCCTGAAAAAGGCACAATAAATAAATAGAGCTTGGGAAGTAGCCCATTTTCAGGAACAAGCAGGGCTGGTTAAAACAAGAATGCATGCAGGGAATAATATTCTGGATAAAATCCTACTACTGCTTTAAATCAAGTTTTGTCACTGATTTCAAGAGGGTGAGGATTTTATTCCTTCTCTCATATGCCAGCATGTGCCAGTCTATAGCCTTCAGCTGAAGACTTGGGCTCAGCTCCCCTCAGGTTCAGACTTTTAAGTGAACTTAAAAGTGCCTGAAATTTAAAAACAAGATAAAGTAATCATGGATCTTTTTTCAAGGAAAATGAAAAATCTGGGCAAGTGATATTCCCTGCTGCTAAAAAAAATTACTAGCCACAATCTAGAAGGCCAGGGCAGGCCCTTAGACAATGGCATCTCAGGGCTGTCCAGGGCTGGCAGACCCCATGCCAAGGTCCTCCTCCTTGGGGCTCCATGTGAGCAAGGGCTGCTGCCCTGGGTCAGACCCTCCTGGCAAGGAGAAAGTTGTGCTGCATTTGTACCACATGGTGACTTGGCGAGTGAGAATGGGGACATCCCAACAGGAAGGCTCATTTTATGCCCTTTAACTCTCTGAGGCAGTGCAGGTACACTGACAGACCTGCTAGATACATCACCTCCAAACTTAGGTGTTGTGGTTTTGGGTTGGCTTGGGGTTTTGTTTATTTCGGAGTTGTTGCTTCCCTCCCCTCTCAATCTGCAGCCACTGCTTCCATCTGTTTGCCTGGAATTGTTTCTGCAGTGAGTTCTTCTCTAGCAGGAATAACTGGCAAAACCCATAACTGCTGTCATCACCACCAGTCCCTGCCCAGCTAATCAGGACCATTACCTGCCCAGCTGGCTGGCCTGGTACCAAGACTAGTTGTGGCTGAACTGTACCAGTAAGGGATGTATTATTTTGTTGGCACATGTCACAGTAAACAGAAGAAATGCTCGTTGCATCCTTTCAAAATGCACTCCTGCTATCACCATTTCTTTTTGCTATTTTATTTTATAGATTATTTTATATTTATATTTATAGATTTATTTTATAGACTTTGCCTCTCTGGCAAGCATTATTCAGTGAGATACTGGATTCAGGACCGGGAATGAATGTCATATATCTTTAACCTGAGATAATTCACAGGTGATTCTAAAGGGTAGATGAGCTCAGTCAAGGTCTTCTGCTCTGTGGACAGCTAAAACTTAAATTCAGTTTCCCACATCTAAGTGTGCAGCTCGTTTGGGATGCCATGGGCTATCCCAAATGTCTCTCCGTGTGACCCGGGGACAATGGGACCTGAACCCTCTCAGAGTAGCAGCAGGGGACATGTGGGTACTTAATCTCATTATCAGGCAGTACTAGATCCCTACATGCCAACAGCCCATGTTCAGCCAGATGAGTCCCAGACCCCGACTGGGATTAAGGACTACAACCATCTGAGCAGGGCTTGTGAGGGTCTGAATCCAGCAGCTTGAAGCACTTAGATGGAACATGAAGACCTTGGTCCTCCAGCCCCATGGATTCAGCCCACAGTTCTCAAGCAATGGAAGCAGATGACAGTTAAGGTTCTGGCTGATCCTAATCATTCCTGCTTCCATCATTCACAAATTGTACCTTTGAATAAGTTTATTATTATTTTCTAAAATTCCTTACTGATGCAGAAATTACTTCTGTCCAAACTGCAACATAATGAGTTCATACATACAGGGAGGTGGCTTGCTTTGACTTTTTCCTTCAGGAATAGAGTTAAGTTTTCCCATAGTTTCTTAGTAACCATCCCAGTGGATTCCACTGTTTCTTACTAACCTCTCCTGACTTGGGGACAGCTGGTGGTGTCTGCCTCTGAATGTTGTGAAAGTGAAGGAAGATAAATGAACACACTTATTTGAAAAAGTAGAAATCTAAGAAAGTAATGGTGTTTATTTTGGAGTGAAGATAAGAATTTGAGGTAAATGCAATGTACTTCTGTTTCTCAGTGGACACAGGACTGAACAGTCACTATGGATCCTCATGACTACTGACATGAAACTTTTTAGCTTAATTTCATGTGTTTTTATGCCTTTCTCTCTCTACTCTTGGATACGCTTGCCTCATGAGCAGGTGAGAGTCCAAAGGACAACCAGAGAAATCCTGGGGTCTGAGAACAGACCTGAAAACTAGGCACAGACTAAGTCATCCCACAGGCAAATCTGGGAGCTGGGATCCTCTGCAGAGAACCTGCCTCTGCAGAGTTTGTGCTGAGTAGCAGCCAATGCCTTTCTGCTGGTGTGAGAAGGTGTGTGCCTGTACTGTACCTGAAGAGGCAGCGGGTAGGACGGATAGGTAGAAATTGTTGCTGCAGAAGGACAGAACCCAGCGTAGGTCAGGATCTGCTGGGCAGGATTGTACAGGATCTGAGGAGGAGGTGCAGCACTGAAGGCAATTTGGGACAGAGGAACCTGTTGAGCACACAAGACAACAATTTATCAGTCCAGTGTAGAGGGGGCTGGAGCAGGAGCTGCTCCTAACCAAGCAACAAGACAATTTAACAACTTTCTATTTTCCAACACAATACCAGTAGTACAAAAAACCAGCAGACAGAATGAGAGGAGGGTGTATCCGGAATGAATTTTCTGAGTAAAAATACACAGCTATTTTAATCTTCTTCCCTTGGAAAAAGGCTGCTGGTGCTTCCCTAGCAACAGCTACAGAAGCGCTGGCAGGACTCCAGATCCGAGACACCCTGAAGTGCACAGCCTACAGCTTTGGCTGCCTCTTCTTATTCATCCAGCACCAAACACCAAGTCCTTCACCATTTGCTGCAGACTCCTTCCAATGGCAACAATCTGATGCCCTCAAGTCTTTTTTCTCTGCTTTCCTACACAGATTTACCTAGGTCTCCCTTTCCAGACCAGTTGCTCCTCTTTCACAGCTCACTCTCACTGGGGAAATGGAGTTCACTGCTGGCTCTCCAGCATCACTCACAATGTGCTTATCTCATTCCTACTGCAGAAAATCCTTCTCTCATGGCTGTATTGGCATGTCTTTTAATTACAAGGCAAAATGAAGTTTGAATGAAGAAGACCCAGCTCACATTAAACCAGCTAAAAAATCTTGGTCGGGAAGAAAGATCAAAAGCTGAATGTGAAAGAGGGTTTGTGTTAAACCCTAAAACCCTGTGCCCTGTGCTATATAACAATTTGTGAAGGACAGCAGAGCAACAGAGCTCTGTGAAATATTTCCATGAGATAAATCCAGTGGTTTCTTTTATTTCCTTTGTTTTTGTTAGCAGATTCCTCCACATGAGAGCATGGAATTTTCACTGAAATAATAAAATATGGTAGTTGCCAGACAAATACTGAAAGCAGCAGCCAGGATTTTTTTTTTCACTTCCTTTCAAATTTATCAGTGGGAGATATAAACTACTGCACCCTCTGGAGACACTGTGAGATCTCTCTGTGATTGAAAAAGAAGTATATTAATTGTGTTTGTACATGGAAAACATCACCTAGGTCACTCATGTACCACATTAGGTTACTGAAAAATCTAGGCTTTAGTTTCCTGGGGAAATTTGGCATTTCAGGAGCTGGTATGGAAAAGGCTGGGATCAAAACAGAGAGCTTATTTCATGGGAGAAGGCAAGTCTCTTATCTTCAAGGCACCCTCCTCAAAACTCTCTCATCTGCAAGGTACTCACCTTTCTACCTGCCCTGCTGAGTGGATATGGTGAGGAGAGATGAAAAGACACTGCCTCAGGAGCAGGGAGGAGCAGGTAACCTGCTGGCTTCAGACCCAAAGGTTTGGGGCCAGTGCATAGTGCCCTTCCTCCCTCAGAGGAGGGACAAAATCAGATCCCTCTGACATCAATGAGTCAAGAAACTTTACCCACAGATGTGAAATATAGGTGCCTGTTCTGCATCTGTCACCAAATTTCTGGTGTGGGTCTCTTTGGGTGCTGCTGTGTGACCCCCTTTGGCTTCTTCTCTTAAGAACCTCTCTCAGTCCTCTCACATTCCATCCACCCACAGAGCAATGCTCTCTAATTGCTAAGGATGAACATCTCAACAGTCCTAGAAGACAAATTTGGGGAATCATCCATGCCACACCCACTAATTCAAAGCACCTTATTATCATTCTATCTGGTCTCAGCCCAGGGCCAGCCACAATTTGTGGTTTCTGAAGCTGGTTGGATGCTTTTATCAAGTATTCCAGTAATTCTTCTGTGTTAAATTACTCACCTAAAATACACGGGTGGGTTGAGACATTCTAAAATGCACCAACACCCAAGTCAAAGAGATAAGGAGCTATGAACTAGCCAGGGTGTGCTAACAGTGCCAGCTCACTGGCCTCACACAGACCTGCCAGAGCATTTATGTCTGAGCTCCAGCTTCTTTTCACATCACCTGTAGTTGCCTGAGTGCTAAGACATAAACCCATGGCAAGTAGCTCAGTAATTAGGGGCTCATTTTGCTTTCCTTTTTAGAGCAGGGTGAAGGAAGAGGAGAGGGGATAAAGCAATGCTGTTTAATCTGTTCAGATTCCTTTAAGGACTGCAAGAAGACTAAAACAAATTTTAAAATGCATCCCCTTCCTACCCCCCCATTCTCCCCTCAGGACTATCAGTAGTTCAGATTAATGCAGCCCTAAACTTAGGGCAGGCAGATTCCTTGGCAAGGTGTGTCAGAAAAACATCCAGAAGTCATCAAATGAACACCAGGACAGGGAAGAGGGTTTCTAGATTAACTCCTCATCAGCAAGTGAAATTTTCCATGTAATTCTTTACCTGCAACTTTTGTAAGAAGTAATCACAGTATGTTATCATTTTGGGTACCTCAACTACATCTCTTGATGTAATATCTTGATCTGGTTTTTTGTTAGAGGTGACTTTAACGTAACTGCCTCCATGTCCTATATCCATATAAGCATGATGTAGATCTTAAAAGGAAATCAGGGGAGCGTGCCAGGATCTGCAGGGAATTTGTCACAAGAAAGAAAAGCTGAAAAAACTAAAACAACACTTTTTTCTCTGTCCAGGAAATATGATGGGTTTAAAGGAAAGGGCACTGTTTTGCAAACTCTCTCCTTTGTAACATGGTTTGGCTGCCAGCATTCCCCAGAGATAAACATGATGTTTTTTGTTTGACTAGTCAGCCTGGCCTTGTGTTTTCTGGAAGTCAATCCCAAAGCAATGCTGTGAGGCATTTCAGGGGGCTTTGCAGTTCTCCCTGCAAAATGGCAGTGAGCATTTATGTGAGAAGTTGACATCTTAAAGCAATGTAAATGGTTCTCTGACATACTTTAAAGGGTGGGGTTTTGTTTCTCTTTTTCTTTCTGTCCCATGCTCCTTTCTTTTCCTCTTCTACTTGATGTTTTCTTGGCCCCTGTCTTCCCCCAAGACTTACTCCTTTTGTAAGGAAAGGGAGCAGCAGATTAGCAAATTATTTCTGGTACTAACTCAAAAGAACCCTGAAAAAGCACAGGCAGGAGCAAGGAGCAGCCATTGCATTTTGGATTGCTGCTTTAGTAAGACTTTCACAAGCATAGCTGAGGTGACTGACACAAACTCATCTTTCCCTGAACTATGACATCCTTTTCCTGCTCCCACTCAGTGAGACATTGAACAGCTTATTCAGATGAGGCTTTTAGCTGGAGCCCTGACAGACTCACTCCAGCTAAGCCTGGGGTCAAGCTGCACATCCCCTGCTGCTGTGATTTCCCTCTGTGGTTTTATGCCACCCAGAGGACCCAGACCATGACCCAGGCTCTGCCTCCCAGCAAGGGAATGTGCCAGATCACGGAGACTGCAGTTCTCCCAGGAACATCTCCTTGGCTTGATGCTCCTCACGAGCAGTGCAGTGATGGCCCTGCAAAGCACAGAGCTGTACCAAAGCATCAGCCCAAATCTCATGTAAGCTCAGGTTTGAGCAAGACAGGTTAGGTGCACTCAGGCTGGCTCTCTGCATGCTTCCCACAGCTGCACTCACACCCATCTGCCAGACAGGAGAAAACACGTAGGGGTACTAAGCTGCAGTGCTCTCCCAAAAACTTGCTGTAGATGAGAGCTGCCTTCACTCCACATGCAAGCTGCTCTTCCCCTCATTTCATGGTTGTTTCTGTTCCCCTTCTGCCCCTCTCACAGGGAGGGGGATGAATTAAGATGGGAAAACCGCTTCTACTCCCTTTGGGCAGCTGCAACCCTTCAGTGGCTGGCTGCAATGTGTTACCAATTCCTTGCAGGAGTACCCTGCATAAAGGAGAGCTCAGCTGCACATTTCTTACATGCTGGACAGAGGAATATTTCCAGGAAACATTGCAACTCTTAACAAAGGTGAATTTCAAACAATTCATATGGTCCTGCTCTACTTTAAACATGGTTTTAAGCACCCAACACATTGTAGATAGCCTGGGCATGCTTCTTAAGGAACACTGGGGGGTCAGAGCTGTCAGCCCTGATGGCCTCGAGTCTGAATGGGTCTTTTGCTCCGACTGGTGCCAGTTCTGAGCAGCCCTCTCCTGCCAGTCTGCTCCCCCTCCTGTCCTGATGTACATCTCAGCTATCTCTCTCGCCTTCTCTTTCCTGCTCCCTTTCTCTTTTTTTTTCATTTTACCCATCTTTCTATTCAGTTTTCTTCTTTGCAACAGTGACCAGACACATCATGGATCTAAGATGACCCATGCTGCTATCACACCTCCCTTTGGTTGCTGCATTTCACCTCCATCTCCGTGCCTCTGCCCATTGAGTTCTGCTGCTCTCCTGAGAGCCTAGTAAATCATGAGCCCCTGGTCTGCTCTTTGGGCACTGCTTTAGCAAACAGGGCCACTGACAGTGATGATCCCAGGAACAGCAACTTCACCCTTTAACGTGTCCATAAGTCCAGTCAAATGAGGGACTTTACTGGAGAATCCCTCTCACAGCACAGTCTCTTCTGAATGCTGTGGTGCACATCAACACAACACGGTGGTGTGGCACAGGGAGTAGTTAGCAGGTGGCATTCCTTGCTGAAACAAAAGAGGATGTTGAAGTGTCCCAAGCGCACAACTGTTTAAATAAAAATTTAACCGGTATTTCAGAATTCATCCCCATTCTTAGGAAAAAGAACTACACAAGGCTGAGCAGTCACACGTAGGACTTGACATTTACATGTTAGCTACAAACTAGCATCATCAGACTGCGTGCAGACCCACATTAGTGGCCACTCATATCAGTGATAAATTAGAAGGGAAAAAAATATGCCACTAAGTGAATTGCCAGCATTTGTTGTGGTATTTTTCTTCCATTCATGTATTTGACCAGGCTTGACCCACTTAGCTGTGAACAGCTGGCAACAGCTTTGCCTAAAGATATAAATCCATGAGAGAGTCTGAATCGATGACTCAAAACATTCCCCCACTGGCTGAGACCCCAAGGGGCTCAGCTGAGCTGGAGGAGGTGAACTTTTGGGTGTGTAATGGCTAAACCTCTGATCTGACAAGGCACAGGGTGAATGATGGGCAGTGAGATAGGAGCTAGATCCTGTGGAGATTGATTGTTCCCATTGTCATGATAATTTGTGCTCTCTAGCACAAACCACTGGGCTGTGTGGGGTTCCCCTCCTCCTCCCCAGGGAATTCAGGACATTTACCTGTGGCCTCAGCGTCTTTATCTCTACTGATGGGACATAACTGAGTCAACTGCTGTTAGGATGGGCAGCTATGCTGTTTTAGAAAGTGCCAAGGATTCCCAAAGCATCCCATAATTCACATTATTATGTTAAGCTCCCCACCTAGTGGGAGGTACCTGAGCATTCCCACCTGAACCAGAGTGAATATAGACCCACTAGATGCTGTGCTCTGGGGATTTCTCTCCACCACCAGACAGATGTGGTCAGTGACCACCGCTTTGACCAAGACTGAGCAGCAACCAAGTCTTTTCTTTTGTGGGTGGTGAGATCCTCACACTCCTGTCCTCTTTCTCTCTCTCTCTCTTCCTTCCTCCTTGTGTTTGTCCTTGGGTGGTATGGTTGCACTTTCATATTGCAATGTGTTAATCTTATATTACTGTAGATAATAACCACCAAAATGTCTCCATAGCTGTTTTCCTATTTGCTACCAAATTTTGGTGTGTAATAAACCTTACATTGTTTATTTAAAAGCAGTGACATTTAGTGTTGTTTCATTCTAATCTTCTCCAAGGGAGCTATTAACAAGAAGCTGGGTTACACTCTTGGTACCTTCTGTGGTGGCTCATAACATCCCAGACTCCCACAACACCCAGGAAACACATTTAAAGCATCTCCTTTGTACATTTATACTTCCTTGGTCTTAACTAATTTGATAATGGCAACAAGCAGAAAGCCCTCACATAAGGCAAAAGACTGTGAGCCTTACCATGTCTTTAAATGCCCCAAGAATGGCTGCTGTGATAATCCCCAGGAACAAGCCGATGATGTTGAGGACTGTGGAGGACCACAACAGTCTGTACAGGTGGAGCACATCCTGACAGCTGCTCACACCAAGAAATTCATAGTAGCTGGAGGACTGGTCTGAACTGAAAGAGAAGGCAGACAATGTCACTGCCGTGGGAATGGTTTCACACACAATAAGAGCACTACAGCATCTCACTCCTTCCTGCTGGCTTTCCTCTTTGACAAAGTAGTACACCCATGCTCCCACCAAAAACTGCTCAGAAGAACTGGAGAAAGCCCTGCTGAAAAACTGGCTCTTCTAAGGCCAGCATCAAATGTAATCCAACTAATACCAACCCTAGTTTGGTTAGTGGTGATGGTTCCCAGCATGGACCCCTGTTTAATTTTTGTTCAGAGTCTCTAAACAGAGACATAATCTTGGTATATGGAGGCTGCCCTTTCCATTTAGCTACCAGATAAAGCTTGCTTAGCTTCGCTTTTTTTTCCCAGCTCACCTAGAAATCTGCTGGCATCTCAAAAGCTGGAGAAGGCAAGCTGCTTAAGCATCAATTCAGCTACAGGAAGGGAGATATGCCAGCTAGCTACATTTGTTTATGGTGTCTGTGGTTCCAAATTAATGCAGCACAGTACAGTATAAAGATGTCTTTACACTCGGGTTTGTACTATCCAGACATCTTTGTTCATATTTCTACACCACATTGGTTATTGTAAATCAGGCATGTGGTGAAGTTACACCTCACTGTCTTGCCAAAAGCCAGAAATATCCTACTGCAAAATTTGAAACCACAGGTTCCTGCAGTTCTTTCCAGTACCTGCCCTAATTTCAGCCCACTAATGAGCTCCTAGGGCAGCTATTTGAATTGGAAAGATTTTTTAAATGCCAAGCCTGTTTTTCCACTGTTAGGAAATTGCCAAATTGCCATCAGATTATGGTGGAAACCAGAAGTGGGTAGTTTGTGTTCACTCTTCTGTTCCCCCATCCCCAGTGCATGGGCCAGCATGTGCATGTGTGGTTAGGGAAAGCTCTGCAGAGCAGTCCACAACATTTCTGGGAAGAACCAAGCCAGTGGTTGGTTCTGGAAACATCTAATTGGTGGCTTCAGGTCATGGTTCTGGCACTGAAGAACCACTACTGTTGAGATCACCTGGGCCCTGCCATAAGCCCATCTTAACTAAATGAACCTACAGCTTCAGCTGCCATGAGGCTGAGGAAATTGGATTTACAATCCTGCCTTCATATCAGTCCATTCTAGGCTGACAACAAATCACTTTGTGGGCCTGTGCCTCCTCCTACTTTTCTCTAGCCATCCTGTGAACTGGAATTGCCAAGTCTCCAGAGCAGCATGATTGCTTATTTACCCTGGATTTGTCCATGCCAGTGCCATAAGATCTTGCTGTCCACTGTAGAATGTTGACAATAGCAGAACACACACATTTAATATATCATTGAATAACATCACACCAGTGAACAGTCCCAAGTGTTTCAAACAAACTCAATGTCTTAGAAAAATAGCACTGAGGATCTCCATATGAAAGGGAAATAGGCCTGATCTCTCCTTGTAGTTACTTCATACTTTAAGCAACAGTTTCAGTCACTTTTTTTGACAACTCCAGATACTTTCACCCTTTTAACAGCCCTGTTCTTTTCTGTGTTGAGTTGAGCTGTTTAGTTCAGTGTTAACATGCAGGCATTAGCCTGTGTACCACAGAGGTAGCATTCTCACATACTGCATTGCAAATATAATGTTCCATCACCTGGCTGTCATAAAAAAGATACCAAAGTTCAGCAGTGTCTACCTTTCCCAAGACTCTACATAGGATTTTAATTCATTTCATAGACCTTCATTCACTTTGTGTCTCCCATTTGCATAAATCACTTCCCTCTAGTCCCAAATGTTCTTTTACTTCCCTAGTTGAGATATCATCTTGCTAAAAGCTACTTTTTCATGCAGAAGCCTTGTGTTAAACTCAATTGTTGCCACCTTGTTTCCTTATGCCTAAAATGTTTATGTCTGGCATCATACAAGCCAAGTCCTACAGAGGACTGGGGTTATTCAGGGCTGCTAGCATGTGAAGAGGAGGCAAAACCAAAATAAAATAGGTGTAGGAAGGAAGGAAGATGAGAAATACAGAGGGGAAAAGAAGGAAAAGTGACTGTGGCTGAACTGTAGAGGGTTGCAGAGGTTGCTTGAGAGTGCATGGCAAAATGATACACAAGGGCAGGTAGAGATAAGACAAGGGAGAATGGTTTTAAACAAAACCAGGGAAGATTTAGATATTAGGAAGAAATTTCTCAGTGTGAGGGTGGTGAGACACTGGAACAGATGGCCCAGAGAAGTTGTGAATGTCCCATTAGTGGAAGTGTTCAAGGCCAGATGGGATGAGGCTCTGAGCAGCCTGGACCAGTGGAAGGTATCCCAGCCCATGGCAGGGGAGTTGGAACCAGATGGTCTTGAAGGTCCCTTCCAACCCAAACCATTCTGTTATTTAATGACAGTGACATGTGCAAAGGGTGAGCCAAGCAGAAGATTCAGTAAATCTAATGGGAAAAATGCATTGCCAGACCAACAGTATATCTGAACAGGGATGTAACTGAGTGATCAGTTTTGATCACACAGCAAAAAACTTATGGACATATTCAAAGAAAAAGAAACTGAAATAATCCCAACACTAATGAACAACTCCTGACATACTTTGTGCTGGCATCAGGACTTCAGTTGCAGAGGAACTGGATTTCTCAGCACACAAGCTCCCTGTGTTACTTCTTCAGGCCCTACCAGTTACAAGTAAGGACAACCAACCAAGAATTTTTCAGAGGCCACAGAATGCACACAGGTACTTACTTCTCACAGTTGTAGAGATCACAGCAATAGCATGTGTTACTCTTCACTTTCAGCTGGCACTTGCTGTTTAAGGTATGACATGTAACCTGCCAAAAAAACAGAAACTTACTTTTATGCTCAATGTTTCAGGGTTGTGTGAATCATCCTACTGTACTGACCACAAAAAAAAAAAAAAAAAAAACCCAACCAAACAAACAAAAAACAAAAACAAAACAAAAAAACCCACCAAAACCATAAAAAACCCAAACAAACAATAACAACAACCAACTACTACAACATTGCCATGTTGTATTACTTGTGCAGAAAGATCCTGAGATTCCAAAATTCATGACTGGAAGCCAGAAGGTCATCCCTGAGCTCACAGGAGCCTGAGACTGAGGGAATTTTCACTATGGAGCCCAGAGCTCCCAGGACCAGCCTGCAGCCAGGGCTGCCAGAGTTTTCAAGCACTTTGCTGCTGCATGGCCTGGTGCTATTCTGCTGAGACCCAGAGTGTGCAGCCAGGGGACTCAGATCTCTGCAGCTGTGACAAGCTGACTGTGGGTCTGGAGAGATACACTACAGCAAACACTGGAGTGAGTAAGAGAACCAGTCTGTTATAGTGGGGAAATGGCAAGGGAGCCAATTTATCTGAACAGCTTCCAATAAATGGGAGCTCTCCCCTTTCAGTGAAACCTTCCTGAAGAAGGAAGTAATTATGAACAACAGCAAGAATAATCTTCAAATCCACAAACAGAATAATTCGGAAAAGATCCAAGCACTCCAGCAAATAAGTCCCATTTATTGCAAGCTCTTGAATTCAAAACTGAAAAGGTTTATTTATGTGAGGAGGAATTGCAGGGATGGACAGATGTTAGAACAATAAAGGCAGGCACACGTAAGCCACTCTCCATCCATACACAAAATCATTTTAATGACTCCTTAAGTATGGTAAGCATTAATCACTTGTATTTGGCACTACAGACCAATTTAAATACTTTATATATAAGGTTTTTGTTTTGTTTTTTTTTTCCCTGAGAGTTTTAGCTTATTGACTTTGAAATCCAGGAGAGCTGTCAGGTTTTAAAAGCTAGCAGTCAGAAAATACATTCTTTCTACAGCTTTTATTTGATAGAAAAAAAATCTCTGTAACCACTGAGAACTATTTTGTTCACAAAATGCAATTAAAATATATTACTGAATGGAAAACTCTTCATAATGAAAAAGTAGAAGGAGCACGTTTAGGAATACATGCCTGCTTTTGATAAGTTTATCAGACAGCTCTGACTTAGCCACGAATGTGTTACTCTATGGAATAGTGTCCACAAGAGATGTTAAACTAGATGTTTCTAAGTTCCTAAGTCCTGGATCTGTGTATCCTTTTAGTTTGAAAACTGTCACTGTTGATAAGCCTATACTCCTCACATGCTTATTCCCAGAAAAAAGGGAAAGCCTTAAGCACACACATTCAGCAACAGAGCAAGTTCATCTCACAACTGGTCTCCAACTTGCCACACTTGTCCTTAGCAGGATTTGAGCAAGAAGTGGAAGATGGGTGACAAAACGAATGTTAGAAGAAGATTTAAATGATTCCTTGGGATTGCTTTGTTGCTCAGGACAAGGCTGTACCTGTGGTTAGTGTCTCATACAAACCAGCTCTTCTATCCCAAAATGATAGGTTATAAAAGGACAGTCTCAGTCTATGTTGCAATCTGGAAATGGAGCTCACAGTTTGAGCTCATCCATTTGGATGAGACACATCCCACTTGTCACAAGGACATCTCACCCTGAGACAGGACCTTGTTTCACCACCATTGCTCTGCAGAAGAGGAGCACTTACTGACTGACAGCTTAAGCAAGGCAGTGACTGAACCATCCCACATGGCTACTTCTCAAAGCAGGTTGAAAACCAATCTGGAGCACAGCCTGGAGCAAATCCCTCAGCCATTTTGTGGGATACCCTATACTTTTGCATTCAGTGGATCTTCAGACTTTGGTTTTGACCTCCTGTATGCAGTGAAAATGGCCCAGGACCCACAGAATTAAAACAACCCTTTCCCATTACACATGCATGATTGGGATGAGAGGGCTTTATAAGATGGAATGGGCTGCAAAGAAGTGGTTTGTTCTGATGCATGGTTTGTTCTGATTTATGGTTTGTTCTGATGCATGGTTTGTTCTGATACATGGTTTGGGGACCACTTCTGATAGGAAATAAAAGTCGTTTTCCCTCTCCAAGCAATAATAAAGTCAGCCTGCCTATTTTAATGGAGAAGGCTAGAAGTACAAAACAGGGAGATCAGCATGACCTTAAACATGTTTTTGGCTGCTTCTACACTACCAGACACATATTATTGGCCAAGGAAGTTACTGTAGTTATCTATTTTTATCACTGCATTTTTAAAACATGCATAGCACAAGACACTCCTTTTTAGGAGAACAGTGAATAAACCAAAATAAACAAATTAGTGTGTGGTGTGAGCAAGGGTGGTGGAAACAGGCCGTTTGTGGGTGTTCTGCATGTCAAGACCTATTATTTCATTTCAGTGACCAGACACACAGCTTTTTCATGTCCTGGACATTTGTTTGTGATTTATTCTCTCCTCAACACCAATTGAAGATATGTTCTTCTGTAATGGTAATTGCCAGTAAATCAAATTCTTTCTGCTTTGAGCAAAGAGAACTGAAACAGGCAGACCAAATGAGCTAGAGATGATTTACAGGTGAGAGATGTCAATCAAAAGGAAACTCGCAGTCAGTAAACAATCTGCTTTCCTAGTTAAGTGTTTGCCTGGCATGCAGAGCATGCCCCCTGCTCACTACCTCGCAACCTTTGGAAAAGCAAAAGCTAAGTATAAATGCTATGAATTCTTAACTCTGAGTTAGTATACACTGACTCTAAATCAGTGAACAACCAGACAAGAATGTTATTAGAAACTACCTACGCTTCTAAAAGATATGGGGTTTGGTTTTTTTCCAGAATAGAGGAAAGAGCTCTGGGTGGCCCAAGTTTAGACATTCCCAGAACCAGCAGAGCTGTGGAAAACCATCTGGCCAGAAGCCTGAAGCTGGGGTCACCTGCAAGGAATTGTGGTCAGTGGGACGCCAACCACATTCTCATTACAGGAATCAGAAGCATTTCTCAGGCCATGTCTGAGTCTGAGTGTGCATGCACACTTTGAAGAGGAAGGAGTAAATCTTACAGGAAAGGGTGTTGTCACACTTAAGAAGTTTGTCTGGGTCGGTCTTTTACATGAGATCAGTGAAATATTTTTGCCATACATTTTCTGGAATCAGCAGCAGAATGCCCTAGCAGCAAGACTTAAGGAGCTGCTTAACCTGGCAGTATACTTTGCTAAGCTTTCTAGAAATATTAGTGGTACCATTCCCCATACACCTTTTGTTAGCCACAGCAGGAACGGTGATGAAAAACTAAAAGTTATACCACTGTTTAGCTGTTCTCCATTTTGCTTTTATATTCACTCCCACCAATTTACCTCAGTAATAAAATAGGAAAAGAAACTAAATCTGGACTTCTCAGGAAGCTGGCCATTTGGATATGGGCACTTTCTTGACCATGTTAATGTCATTGAGATAATAAAAATGCTGCATTCAAATACTAATGTTTTTTTACCTCTGCTGGATAAATCCAGAGATCTGAAGTCTTCTGGATGATACAAATGGATTAATTTAGATATTTCCTATTCCATTTGGAGTCTACAAAAGCCTTCTTAGAGGAAGATGCCAATGTGACAAACACATTCCAGACAGTTATTCTATAGCATGGATGGACTAGGAATCATTCCAACCCCAGAGTAAAATACTGGATACAAACACTGATGATGACTCAAAACTGCACTGACTGGTGATTTTAAATCGTCAGAAGCTTGGACAAGCAGGCAGTCACTTGAGGGAGAAAAACAATGGCATTTCTATCTACCCATGATCTACATGCATGAACATGCTCTCAAACATCTCCCTTGCTCCTCCCCAGCACAGCAGAAATGAACACATGATGAGGTGAGTTTGTTTACCTCAGTCTGGTAGGCATCATACAGGAATCCTATTCCACTTGAATAAAACTGGCATCTTTTGTTATACAGAGGTCGGGGTTCCTGTAAAAAGAAAAACAGCCAAAAAAGTGATTGGTTTGGAGGAAGTGGAAGGCGCTATGTCCCATGTCCCCGTGCAGACGCTTACAGCTCTGTGGAGCTGAAGCAATTGCACCACTTGGGTAAAAGGCCCACACCTCCTGTGCTGACTTTCCTTTTGGAATGGCTCTCCTCAGGGTTTCATTTTCCATCCTCACTCCACCACTAAGCTATGAGAGTATCATCTATTTTTCTCTAAAAGACATCACCTCTGGCATTTAACCACTTGACGTCATCTAACCACGCTCAACGTCAAATATTACTGCTCTGACAATGGTCCAGTCATTCTTTTTTTCTGGTACAGTTTCTTACCTAAGAACCAAGATTAATTCTGCAGGTTGTTTTCAAGATATGGGACTTCCTTTTTAAAGAATTTCAACAATGTCCATGAAAACAAAGTAACATAGATAATAGTTTGAGTAATCCACTTATAAAACACACCTCAAACCCCAGAAGTAAAAAAAAAAGAATAATGAAGAAATTAAGGCATAAAGAGAAAGCAATTTACATTGTTTGGTTTTGCCTTATTTTCCATTATGCTATTGCAAAAGATGCATTCACTGCTCATATTTCATATTTTGCTTGTAACAGTTCCCACAAACTGATATAAAGGAAGAACAAAATTAAATATCCTTGGCCAGATGGAAAATGTGTTCTTCTGACCTTGGCAAACAGCCACTTTGCAGCCTGGAGGGTGCATACCTCAGTCAGTTTCAGGACTAGACCATATTTATTTTGGGAGGATTTGACAACTTGAGTCCTCTGTGATCCAATATCTATCCCAAAGCAGTGTTGGAATTCCTTATGTTTGAAAAAAACCACCTTTTTCAACTTTCCTTCACTTATCTAGTCCTGGTCTGTGCCTTCAAAGGTGTGAAGAGCTGGGAGCGTGTGTCAGTCTGTTGGAAGGTAGGAGGGCTCTGCAGAGAGACCAGGAATGTTTGGATGGATGGGCAGAGTCCAATAGGATGAAGTTTAACAAGTCCCAGTGCTGAGTCCTGCATTTTGGTCACAAACCCCCTGCAGTGTTACAGGGATGCTGTGACTGGGCAGTGCCCAGGCAGAAAGGGACCTGGGGGTGCTGGTGACAGCAGCTGAACATGAGCCAGCAGTGTGGCCTGGTGGCCAAGAAGGCCAAGGGCATCCTGGCCTGGATCAGGAACAGTGTGGCCAGCAGGAGCAGGGAGGTCACCCTCCTTCCGCTGTACTTGGCACTGGTGAGGCCACACCTTGAGTGCTGTGTCCAGCTCTGGCCCCTCAGTTTGGGAAGGACCTTGAGACACTCGAGTACATCCAGAGGAGGCAACGAGGCTGGTGAGGGGTTGGGAACACAAACCCTGTGAGGAACGGCTGAGGGAGCTGGGGGTGTTTAGCCTGGAGAAAAGGAGACTCAGGGGTGACCTTATCACTCCCTGCAACTCCCTGAAAGGTGGCTGTGCTCAGGTGGGGGTTGGTGTCTTTCTCCAGGCAGCAGCTGACAGAATGAGAGGACACAGCCTTAAGCTGCACCAAGGGAAATATAGGTTAGGTATTAGGAAAAAGTATTTTATGGAAAAAGTGATAAAGTTCTGGAATGGTCTGCCCAAGAAGGTGGTGGAGTCACCATCCCTGGATGTGTTTAAAAAAAGACTGGATGTGGCACTCAGTGCCATGATTTAATTGAGGTGTTGGGGCATGGGTTGGACTGATGATCTTGAAGGTCTCTTCCAACCTCATGATTCTGTGATTCTGTGGAAGCACTCAAGTGCTCATTGATCCTCAGTAAGTCAGTCAGACCAGATCCAAGACAGAAGATGCAAACCCACTATCTGCCATCCCCTCTTTCCATGCCAACTTACAAGCAAAAGACTATTTAAGTTGTTAGCAGAAATCTTCACTGATTAACTTATACTGCATTTTAAAGCTTTAAAATCCATCCAGGAATAACCCAGATTTTGCACAAAGATCTGCACTACTTCAGCTCGCAAGCAGAGTAGTCTTTGCTTGTTGGATAATGAAGTGTGAACCATATAAATCTGCTGATCCAAAATACATAATTAGTTAAAATGCAGAGCTAGGCAGGAATGCAGAGAGATCAATGGATAAAGCTCCTCCATCAGCTTGTTTGCCTTTCTGACTACTCCAGCAAACTTAAGCAAGTTTGGACACCAGCTCTCCAGGGTTTAGAGAAAGGTTAGCTTCCTGCATCCAAAAATATTTATTTATACTACACAAGCGTAAGGAAAAAAGCTTCAGTAACTCTTCTTCTCTAGAGGAAAAGCAAATACCACACGAACAGCATGCCATGTCTTGAACTAGGTCAACATTCTTCCACAGCCCTGGGAAAGCATTAGCCTTTAACCATGACTTCCAGGGACAGATCTGGTTGGGAGGTCTAAGAGGATTGCAGTTCCTCTGCCAGAACAAGGAGGTGACAAGGAGAGGAGCTCTGCTGGACTTCATAGTTACAAACAAGGAAGGATTGCTCAGGGATGTGAATGTCAAGGGCAGCCTTTTCCCTAATGTTATGAAATCTGGAGAGGATGAAGCACGATTCCCACTCTGGACTTGAAGAAAGGAGACTTTGGCTTATTCAGTGATTTGTTTGGAAGAATCATATGGGATACCATCCTGGAAAGCAATGAAGCCCAGGAAAGTGAGTTGATATTCAAAGTTCATCTCCTCCAAAATGAGAAACAGTTCATCCTCTCTAACAGGAAATCAAGCAAAGGCAGCATGAGGCCTGTGTGGATAAACAAGGAGTTCCAGATGTATCTTGGGCATGAAAAGGAAGTCTACAAGAAGTGCAATAAAGGACAAATCACCAGGAAGGAAAATAGAAAAATTATATGAGAATGCATGAATGGGGTATAGGAAAGCCAAAGCTCTCTTGGAATTCAGTCCAGCAAGGGTTGCAAAGGGCAGGAAGAAGAGCTTCTATTGGGTGTATTAGCAGCAAAAGGGAAATCAGGAAAATATGTGCACATTACTGAATAAGGCAAACAACATAGTACAAAGACATGGTAAAGATCAAAGTATTCAGTGCCTTCTTTGCCTTGGTCCACAGTGGAGACCAATGGAAAAAATTGGCATAAGAAAGAATTACCCTTGCTAAAGGGGGATCAGTTTAGAGAACCTTTAAGCAGACTGGAGATACATCCTGTCTTCAAGGATGACAAGAAAGACATACACCCTGATGGGAAGGGATGGAGCAAATAATCTTGGAAACTATTTCCAAACATCTCAAGGACATGAAGGCAATTTGGAGTAGTCAGCACGGATTTACAAAGGGAGAGTCATGTCTGACCCACCTGTTGACCTTCTACAAGAATGTGACTAGCTTGGTGGATGAGTGGAGCTTCTTACTCACTTGCTTCTGGATCTTTATCTTCGCTAATTCCTCTGGCAGTCTCTCATTCTCACAGAAAAGGTGATGAAATAAGGGCTAATTAACTGGAGAGTGAGGTGGACTGAAAGCTGGCAGAACTGCTGAGGTCATAGTGCTGGGAGCACTGACATGAAGTCCAGCTGGAGGTGATTTGATAGTTGTCTACCCCAGGGGTCAATGCTAGGACAATATTGTGTAGCACCTCAATTACTGAACTGGGTGATGGGTAGAGTGCTAGCTGGCAGAGGATACAAAACTGGGATGAGTAGCTGAAACACCACAGGACAGTGTCATTATTCAGAGACCTGGGCTGGAGAAATGGCCCACAGGAACCTCAACAAGTACAGTACAGGGAAATGTCAAATCCTGCACCTGGGGAGGAATAATCCCATGCACCAGAAAAGAGTGGGGCCTGGCTGTCTGGAGAGCAGCTTTACAGAGGGTCCTGGTGGGTAGCAAGTTAAACATGAGCCAGCAATGTATCCTTGTGGCAAGAAAAGCCAGCAGTATTCATGACTGCATTACAAAGAGCACCACCAGCAGGCTCAGGAAGGTGATCCTTCCTCTTTAACACTGGTGAGACACATCTGGGTAAAGTGGGTAAAGTGCTGGGCTCCCCAGTATGATAGAGACCACAGACATGGTCTGTGAATTAACAGAGTGGAGTATCTGTCACAAGAGAAGCAGAGTTGGGACTGTTCAGCCTAGGCAAGAGAAAGTTCCCATGTACCTTATCAATATGGATCAATACTTGATGGGAAGTGAAGAAGATGGAGCCACATTTCTCTCAGTAATGTCCCGAAAAATGACAAGATGCAGTGGGCACAAACTGAAATATGGGAAATTCCATTTAAACATAGGAAGAAACCTTTTTTATTCTGTGGGTGATTAAACACTAGAACGAGTTTCCCAGAGTGGTTGTGGAGTCTCCATCCTTGGAGATACTCAAACTGGACACAGTTCTGAGCCACCTTGGCTAGCTGACACTGCTCTAAGCACAGGTGGTTGGATTAGAAATCTCCAGAGGTTCTGCCCAGTCTCAGCAACTCTGATTCTGTGAAGAGGGTCAGAGTCTATGTCAGGCTATGAGCAGACTAACAAGTTTTCTTGAAGTATCATAGATTATGAGTTTAGGACCTGGAGACAGATGCTCCCTGGCCTTACCTTTGGGTCATTCACATCTTACTGCAGGTTGCTGATGAGTGACAGCACCACATCATACTGTGAGGCTGAGTGTGACCCTGAATGCTAAGATACTCCCCTCAAACACCTCTATATATTCTTAAAGGCAGTGAGAGAGCTGTCTAATCTCCCTCCATCAAGTACAGGAAGATCCTCACTTTGGCCCTGATCTCTTGGCTTACACAGTTTTTCTACCTCTTACACTTTCTTCCTCTTAAAAAAGAAATTGGTCCTTTTATTGGTTTGGTCTTCAATGGAGAAGACAAGCACGCTTTTCATCCAAGTGTGCTTGTGACTGGAGGCAGCACTGTTCTCTGGGGAAAGAGGTGATTGATTAATCCATACTATTATGGCTTGATATTGCTGTGCAGCAAAAGGTCAGAGCTGTGGCTTGGAAGTGACCACAGTGAATAGA